AATTCCATTTTTTCCCCTGACAAGAAAAGTAAAAGAATTACTATTAATACAAATTGTGTATGGATTGGTTATGTCTGAAATGACTTGCTACAAGGGTTGATCATCAAAAATTTAATTTTAAAAGTATTTATTTGTTTAAAGGTATAAAACAATGTCTAGAAGTCTGTTATTTAAAAATTTTTGAGTAACCTCTTAAAAATAATCCTTTTTCAAAATGGCACATGGAGAGAGCAAAAAAAAAAATTCTGTTTTTGAAAGAAAAAAAATGCTGAAGACTTTCATAGGATGTTAGTAAATGTTTATGGAGAAACTGTACTTAATACAAGATCAATAAGGTGATGGATCAGAATAGTTAATGACAGGCCTTGTAGTAGCAGGCCATCTGCTGCTATGAATGAGAAGGCCAAACAAGCTGATACTCTCATTATAGAAGACTCACTATTGTGAAATTGTGAAACCCTTTGGGTGAGCCATGGCAGTGCCTGTAGTTTATTGCTCTTTCTTGGCTATTCAAAGATCTGTGCAAAGTGGGACTCCAGCGTGCTGATGAAACCTGGAGGAGAGAGAGAGTGGTTGCTGCTCAAGAACTTTGGAGCAGCACAACATAGTGCTCAGAGGAGATGAGGAAGTGAAAGAATTGATTCACACATGGCTAAGAAAGCAGCCAAGAAACTTTTACAAGGCAAGTATACATTCCCTCATTCAAAGGTGAAATGCTGCAATTGAAAACAAAGGAGATTATGTGGAAGACTAAATTTTGATTCCTGCAACTTTTTTGCATTTCTACTATTAAATTTATTGCAATTAAAGAACTGGAATTACTTTTTGACCAACCCTTGTATAGCAGAAGAAACATTGGACTAAAGGTAATAACTTGTGGACATAACATTTCTTAATTTTTCTTTTAATCGGTTTATATTTTGAAATTTATTGAAAATGAATGATGAGTACTTGTTTTTAGCTAAAACGTTAGTTTATATATTGAATGGTGGACTGATGGTGTGAAATTGCCAGTTACCATGCAGTGTTTGTTTTTCTATATACACTGCTTCTATCCACACACACGAGGGCTTTCTCTCAAAATATAATCAAATATTAAAATTTATTATTGAATCTCTTCTTGAGATGAGAACTTTCAGTATCCCTTCATATATACATATATGGACAGAAATCTTTTTTAAAACATCCAACTGGTTTTCATATATTCCATCTTAAAATATTTTCTATAAGGAGCTTCCCCATATGCTTAATCATATTTAATGTGATATGTTATGGGGGCACTGTTGTTTTTCTGTTTTTTTTTTTTTGTTTTTTTTTTTTTTTAATATTTGGACACTATACTTATAATATTGATTCTTAATTAGCAACCTTTTTTCTCAAAGACAATCTTGTAACTCTGTAGTAATTTATAATGCTTGATTATTTTACAGAAGTTTGACTAGATTAATTAAGCACAAAGAAGACTTGTTTTAATGAAACCAAAAGGAGATAGTGAGGTAAATCTCGAAAACTGTTGTTAGGGAATACATTGCTTAATGAGTTCTCAATCTTACCACTTGTCCAGGTTGCTTTAATCCAAGATATTCTTTTTGCTGATGGGGGTAGTTGCCTATTTCCAAACAGTGTACCAATGAATCTGGATTCAAGGCAGGTAAAGCTTAAAAAAAAAAAAAAAAACAGAAAAATTAGCATTTTGAAAATTGGTTTTTCAAGGCAAACTGAGTCACTTGGAGGATTTATTCAACACAATCTTCCTCTTTGCATTTGGCTTTGTGCCAGACAAAGTTGAGCTTAATAAATCTGTATCATCTTTACTTAAATTCAAGCTTTTTTCTGAAATGAATAGCATTATGCATTCAATTTGATTACACAATTAGATTATAAAATTCTTAATAATTCTATTTTTTTTGTTATTTATGTTATAAGCTATCTTTAAAAATAATTCACAATGCAACATTTCAACTGTATTTTATTTTTTATTTATTACAGCTATTTCTAAAGTTAGCAAATTTGCCAAATAGAAATATACTACACTTGAAATTCAAATGTTTTCTAATTTGCTCATATATCTGTAAATTGAAAGAAAATAATACTACATTAAACAAACTTTTAAAAGAATTTCATTAGAAATCATTTAATTTGGACAAAGATGTCATAGAACTTTTGTATATATCTCTTTTTAGGATTTTCTTTTTTTATTTTTGAGAAGCTTTACCTTTTCATTTCAATTATTTTTTTTCCCTTTTTTTGTTTATGTATTTGGTCAAAAGTTAATGTAAGATCACTGAGAGCAAAGATTGTTTTAACAAAAGCCTTAAATTCTGCATTTATGGATTTTATGTTATTTTAGTATCAATCAAATATAATAACTTCCTTCATCGCATACAAGTGTAATACTCTACAAGTTTGAATTCAGAAGTTTGTAAGTGACCTGCAGAGTATGTGCACAAAGCTTCAAAACCTATTTGCTTTCCAATTTTACAGGTTATATAATCTAAGTGATACTTTACTATCTGTGAAATCACATTTTTTTCTTCAGCTTCCAGGTTTTGCTAGCCATTCTTTAGAGCAAGTTTATGCCAATTAGTATTCATGTATATAAACATACACATACAAGGTTATGTAGGAAAGACATTTCAGTTTTTAATGTTCATTAAAGCGTAAAGTGAAATTTTTAACAAATTTGGAAACTTTCTACTTTGAAGGAAAAAATTGTTTTTTCAAAGAATTAAATAGGTCAAGCGTGACAACAGGAGCATCAGTAACAGGCAGGTATGCAGGCAAGAAGTACTTTTAAGGCTCCAAGTTCTAGATATCAGTATTTGTCCCACTGGATAATAGCCTAGTGGATTAAAGTGTTGGTTTGTGAATTTGATGATTTTAGTAATTTTGAACCAGGTAGACACTTAGATTTAATGGAAACACGGTGAACAATAATTGAGTTTTTGCATTGCATTCTATATTACATTAGGTTACTTCTGTAGATTAAATAAAGAATTCAGTTTCAAATTCCCTGAAAGTGACCTTGATTGACAAACATTTTTTAAACAGCTTTTCTTTTGTAGTTTCTTTAAGTTTTTTTTTTTTTTTTTTTTTTTAAGTTTTTTTTTTACTTATTTGGATTTTTTTATTATAATTACTATTAATCATTATTTCCATATATGACCAAGTTATATAAAATGTGCATTTAATATTTTTAGGGAATCTATCTAATCTCTGGTGTTAATTAATAAATGTAATATCAAAAAACAGTAAAGATTTTATATCTATGGTGTTTATATTGGAAATTGATATTGTATCACAGTTTGGTAGGAGTTAGTTTTTGTCTGAATCTAGTTTCTTATCTTGTGTTGCAAAATTTTGTATCTTTTTCTTTTTTTTTTTCCTGTGACAATCTAACATTACCATTTATTAAACATTGAAACCTTATTCAACTACCAGTTTTAAATCATGTCCATTAAAAGCTGCAGATATAAAATTAACTTTGATTTATTATAAAGGAGATTGATTATTTAATTTTTGGTACATTGCTTATAATTAAAACATTTGGCTATAATACCCTTTTTTATTTCTGTTTATTTGTTTTTTAATTTAAAAAGAGCACATTTTTTTCATGCTTCTTTCAGTTGATTGTTTGCTCACATTTTAACATGCAAAAACGTTTATTTCATTATAAAATGGAAAAAAAATGATAATTATGGGAACATTTCGTTATTAATTTAAAAATGCTTTATCTGTTTTGATTGCTAACACTTGTTTATTTTGTAAAGATAAATAATCTTTTCTGCTAATAATCAACTTATTAACACTATAACTAGTTTTAACTAAATATACTAATGTATTTGCTGTACATGTTGTCTTCATGTTAATTGTTGCATGACTGATCAAAAAAAGTTGCTTATTCCTTTAGTTACTAATACCATGTAAACTTTGTTAATTAAATCTTTAACCTTTTCAATGCATTTCTGTACTTTTGATTACTAACATAATGAGAATACAAATCTGTTCTACTAACCAAGTAAAATTTAAATCTTTTAACAGAAATGTGTTAAAGAAAGTAAAACTGTAAATAATAAAGTTGTTTGAAGATCAAATGACATCATTGTAACAAGAATTCTAAAATTACATTGAAGAAGAAAAAAAAATTCCAGTTACTAGCAAACAATTTGGCCCTTATTTTTTTATGGTGCACTTGTAATATGTGAACAAGAATATATTTCTGTTTTAACTTGCAAATTCATGATGTTATAATTATAGTGTACAAAAAGAAAGTAATGATTGATATTGTTGCTTCTGATTAAATATTCATGTATTTGTTAACAGATCCCCAGGCCCCTATTTTACAGAGGAGCCCTAGGTTTCCTTTTCTAACCTGACTTTGGATTGGCTGTTCTGAAGCAAAAAGTGTTTTGCTCATATTATCTAGTGTTTGAACATGGTTCCTCATTTAAAGAGTGGCTAAATTTAAACTTTGTTCATCAGACAAGTCAATGTTTTTGACATGTACTTGTAAACAGTTTAATAAAACCATTTCTAACTAGAGTGGGTGTGGCTTTGGCATATCTTGAAGGCTTTCGTGAAAGTGCTTTATTTTTAATTTTTATAAATTTATAAAAAGTCAATTTAACTTTTAAATTCTTACATTTTTTTTTTTTTTAATTTTTTTTTTTTTTTAGAAATCTTAAAATCCATTTTATTTATTTATTTTTAATGGAAAGTCATAATAGAAATACTGAGACACTCTAGTTCTTGGGTGGCAAAAAAGAAAAGGGCTGTCTGTTATCTCTGTTTTTCTTTTATTTTTATTTATTAATTCATTATATTTTATTTTATTAAAATCTAACCCCCCCTCATGCTTCTTTCCTTCCAAATTGACAGTGATGATCTGTTCTACTTAGATCTGAGTAGTGTTGAGTGATTGAAAGCCTCTGCTCTCTACCTCTATCTCTCTCTCTCTCTCTCTCTTATTATGTCTCATTCCAACTTGTTTTATTCACTAGCTGCTTGGGATGATTCCACCTCACAACAGCCTCAGCCACAGCAGCCACAACAGCCATCGCAACAGCAGCCACAACAGTCTCAGCAGCCAACACCTCCACCGTCAGGTACAGAAACACCATATTCTAAGAAACACTTTCTCAGTGATTCAATAAACTCTGCCCCATTCTGCCTCTTCTTACTGTTGGACTTCTTCATCCTACTCTGCTGTCAACATTGAGCATTTACAAGGAGAGAAATAGCAATTAAAAAAAAAAAAAAAAATTCACATTTTAGCCGTGGAATTGCAACTGGGCACTGGGTTCTATTTCCCTAGATATCACTTCCCCATTGCACTTAAAACTGATCATTCTCTGATGTCTGGTAAATGCCAAGTTACCATTGGTGTTTTTTTTTTTTCTCTCCTTTTTTTTTTTTTTATTTATTTTCACCCTGTTTTTGCATTGTGTTCCATATTACATTAGGCTACAAAAACTACCCACATTAAATGATGTTATGTTAGTGGAGATACAAATACATGACTACAAGAAAATAATTTTTATGCTTTGTTTACATTTCTTTTTTTGTCTCCCTTTAATATAATGTTAAGCAATTATAGAAAGACATAGGAAGGAGAAAAAAAAATTTAGTAATTTTTACTTTTTGTGGATTTTCTGCATTTAAATATCATTTTAAATTGTCTGGTTTTAATAATGTTTATATTTCATTCAAATTCAATCTTTTTAATCCCTCTTATCACTCCTATCACCTTGCCAACTAAATTTGTATCTTCACTTTTACAAAGTCTTTTGAAAATCATATCTGTTTGCATGACTTTGTAGTAAGGTGAGCTTTTTAAAATCAGCTGCATTGTCTCTATCAGTTCCAGTTATTTAGAAAAAAAATCATTGTAGTTTTAGAGTTCATGTTAATTTTATTAGTATCTCTGCTTAGGCTATAAGGTATGTAAATTATTTGCTTTTTTTTTTTCTTGAGTAGTGCCCAGTAATTACATATAATATTTTCTGAAGTAGAGCAGTATTTTTAGTTAAACATTTGTCATATCACTCGGTTTGCCATGTTTAAGATGTGAAGAATTTTGGGTAGTTAAATGCTTCAGTTTCTTGCTCAATTTCAGGTTACCTTGGAGCCAGGTTTATCCTCAGCCAATTATTTTCTGGTTTGACCTGAAGTCACATGATTTACCTTGAGTCTCTGAAACTTTACTTTAAATGTTTAACCTTAACACACTGCATTATTCACTACTTTCCTTTCCATTGCATTTTTTTTCAAGACTTCTCTACTGCACTATTTAATTTCAGTCATGATCATTTTATGTTGCCATAGTAGGATATGACAACACAACTGCACAATTCAAATAAACTATCATTCATTCATCTGAGTCACTTGCAGTGGCAAGATAAAATTTTTACTTTGTAAACAAAATCACCTCCGGAATGTTAAAGATTAAGTAAACATTATATAAGAATCAGTGTTATAAAAATCATAATATTTTAAGATTTCTGCCTACAGAAGTGGCATCCTAGCCAACCATTTAGACTTGAAGACATTTATTAATCATTTTGTTTATATATTAAAAAAAATGTTCTTTTAGAGATTATTTTAGAAATGTCACAATATATATTGAAAAAAAAAAAACTATTGCATTTTAGGAATGTAATGAATTTAAAATAGATCATTGGTATAAAAAGAAATTAATTCCCTGAATTGATAACTGTTTACTACTTTTTTTTTTTTTTTTTTTTTTTTTTTCTGATGTTGCTGCAAGTTGAGGTGATGCAAAGAAAGGTCGTTGTGTTCAGCACTCGAAAGAAGCAATTTGAACATTCTTAGTTTCTTTGAAAGGCAAAAACTGTTTCTGTATTCTTGAATATTGTGATTTTATTTATTTATTGAAAAGATTAATTACAATGAAACTTTGAATATTAGATTTCTCTTTTGGAAATTATTGTAAAAATTCTTTAGCTTTCCAGAATACTGACCAAAAGCTGGTTTTAGTTGGAAGTCTATGTACATTTACTTCTCTTAAAATGATTTACAAAGGTAGTATTTGTTGATTTTTTTTTTATTATATTTTTAATGAGTAATATATTTCACTTCATTGTTGTCATTCATATTATTTAAGAATGGGTTACTTTCTTTTAATCAGAATTACATCTCAAACATAAATTCTTGACAGTAATTGCTAAAATCTTTTAAGTTTTTATTTATCTATTATTAATATTTTCCATCTTATATTTTTTTTTTTTAAAAAAATCTAAATATGACATTTTCTTCATTGATGGGAGATCAAACAATGATAGTTTGATCTGGCTAATCAGAATAAGTTCAAAATATGCTCTTGTAAAACATAAGCTGACAAATGTGGTAGTTGGAGTTAATTTTTTTTTTTTTTTTTAAGTTTAATAGGAAAAATCAATTCTCTTCAAGCAAGGCAATGATGCCACTAAGACGCAAGGGTATACTGGAAGTGAAAGAGAAAGGAAAGACTAGAAGAAACTGGAAATTGGAAATTTCAGAGTTCAGACTGAGATGTTAGAAGTATAGAGTTAGAAGGAACCAGAAACCCAATCCTAAACAGGAAACGAGTAGATAAACATCTACTCCTGTTCAAAAGACTGGGGAGGAGAGTGGCAAGCCTATCTGCTCCTCGATTTTAAAAAATTTTTATTTATATTATAATGTTTCACTAGGTAGCCTCTCAACTTCTTTAAGTGTTATTTCTATAGAGTATTGTTAATTGATCCTTTTTAGTTAAAATGTGACCCATCAGCTACAACTTTTCTCATTTTATAAATATAATGAGTAAATAATAATGGAAAGGAATAAAGAAGTGAAAGGTAATCAGCAGTAGTTAATTGTGAAGAACGATTTGGTTTTGGCAAATTTTAATCTTTGTATAATTTCTGATAGTACCACATTCAACATCTCAAAGGAGTAATTTATACTTTCTCTTTTTGTTTTCTTAAGAGCCTCTGTGCAAATTTGTATAATGAAACTTGATAAAAAAAAATGTTTGCTTTGATTATTCAACAAGCACTTAAAAGATGATGGCTACTCTTGGTTACATTGACGAAATTAGAAAACACTGGAGGATAGGGAGATTTTCTATTTGGAGATTGACAGGATTTTCTTTTGACAAGGAAATCACATGCATGTGTAAAGGCTTTAGTATTTGTAATGTAAATAGGAATCATTTGAAAAGATTAATTTCATTGGTGGTATTATTTTATACAAATGTTTATTGGAAAGACTTTTCTGGGTTTTCTTTATAAAATGTTGTTTTTTGTCACTCATTAGCATATCCTGATAGGAAGAGTCAGCAATGTTGATCAGGTTTATTCTTATAGAAATGCATTGAATTTTCTGAGTAGTCTATGAGACTTGTAAATATATAACTAAACTTCTAATCTCGGAGAGGATTGACATCATGCTTTAATAGGTGTGATGTACTCACTTGTAAAATGACCATCAAACATGATTATAAATTTAATTTGTATATTGAATGTATTTTGAGTAATATTTTGATTTTTGACTAATATAGACCACTTGAATTTTTCCTAATTTCAGAATGAACATTTATATAATTCATAACACCACATGTCAGGTGTCAGTATCTGTATTCCCTCCCACTCCCACACTCTCTCTCTCTCTCTCTATATATATATATATATATATATATATATATATATATATATATATATATATATATATATATATATACACACACATTGCCAACTATTAACACATGTATAAAAAATACATTACATCACCATTTTTCTACAGATCCATTATTCATAAATCTAACTTATCTCTTCCAAATACATAAAAATCCATAGATATACTCTAATGAAAAATTGTTGAAAATATCCTGCAGTGTCTGACTAAACTTTACATACTTTAATATCCAGAATGTTTTCTTACACTTATTTGTATATCATCTGTTACTCCAATACATGTGACATATCTAAGCAATGAAATAGCCTAACACAACATATAATTAATCTGCATCTCTTTGCTTATATTCATTTTTTCTCATTTCTATCTTGATCTCTGACAAAGATTTAATAAAGTGAAACATGTTAGATTAAGATCTGTTTTCTACTTGTTCATTTTTGTTCTTTTTCTTACCATATATATATATATATGGTAAGAAAAGAACAAAGATATATATATATATATATATATATATATATATATATATATGATTATTCATTAAAAAGCCTTTTAAGGTCACTGAATTTAAAGGAAAATTCTTAAAGTAAGAGGTGAATTTTCAAGTTTTTCTGATTTTAATGAATTTGGAATACATATAAATTAGAAATATATGCTTCAGTAAATGTATGAGATTTTTTTCTCAAAATATGTGCAAAGCAGTTAATAATTGATATTGATAGAGAAGAACTTTACATTGTCATATATATATATATATATATATATAATTAGACACCAAAGTATGGTTTTATGGAGCAGCTGTTTTGACCCCACTGTTGTACAGCTCAGAATCATGGACCTATATTGGTCCCATATCAATCAGCTGTATGTCTTCCACAAAAGTTGTCTCCGCATGATCTGTGGCTATACTTTTGTCGATAAGGTGTCCAATGCTGATCTTTTCACAGAAACCAACATTGGGGAAATTGAAACTTTCCTGATGCAATCACAACTTTGCCAGGTTGGTCATTTTGCAAGAATGAATGATAACAGAATACCTAAGGTCCTCATGTATAGCTAACTTGACAGATTATTGGATGGCTGTGGCCCAGATATAAAGACAAGCTAAAGGATAACCTCTCAGCTGTCAATGTGCCTTAGAGCAAGTTACCTTGGATAGAAATAACTGGAGATATTTTGATAGAGTGGTATCAGAAATTTCAAAATCAGTCATATTAACTGGCTGTGAAATGAAAGACAATGGCGGAAAGGGTCATCAAATATTCCTGTAACTATGTCCTGAGATCCTTGGTGTTGTACAATATGTGGACTTGTATCCAGGTCACTAGCAGGATTGAAGCGTAACATATGACATGAAGATAAAAACTGAATGAGTTTGTCGGATCCTCATATGTGAAAATGAATGGGAGAGTCCATTATTATTGATCGATCAAATGCAGATTGGAATCCAACAGAATGGTTGGATAAAGAACAAATAGGAAATGATTAAAAATCTAATTTTTCACTTTTATTAATGTTTCATCTGAGAAAATGATATACACACATACACACACATTATCATCTGAATCCCATATAGATAAATTAGAATTATAATACATTTACATAAATTATATACACAAATGCTACTTGACTAGTCCAATGAATATAAAGTCTGCTTAACCAATGAAAATCAAACACAAAAATAAAAATACCATAAAAATTTTTCCCCATATCTTATTTTGCTGTACAATAAGCAAGACATGTCAGATTTATAAACATTTTCTATTTCTTCTTTATCCTATATATATATATATTTGTTACTACTTAACTGATTGACGTTACTTTCAACACCCAGACTCCAGAGTCCATTCACTCTTCAGTGGTTATCAGCAATTTTATTTTCTATTTACGTCTGTAGCATTATTTTATTTTTTATTCATTCATTCATTGTATTAGATGAAGCATTGCCAATTATCAATTTTTAACTAGTATATACTTTCAGTGTTTTTTTTTATTTTAGTTGCACCTAAAGATGTAAGTAAATAAGTCAAAAATTAATAATAGTTGTTTGCATCTCTTGATTTATTTAAAGTTCATTTTGTATTTTGCTTTATCACAACAAAAATGAGATATTGTAATCCTTTTTAATCTAAGATTAACACCACCACACATTTGTCTTGGTAAAATGTAATAGATTACTTTCATTAGCGAATATCAAATAAAGAAATTAAAAAAAATATTTATTTTTAAATGAGTGTATTGGTTGCTATATAGAAAGAAATGTAAAATAGTTTCTTCCTTGCTAAATAAATATTCTGAACAAATTGAATAGGCTAATATTTTGGTAGTGTCATTTTTTTAGAATTGTTATATTTCTGGCACAAGATTCTTGAGATTTAATATAATTAAATAATGTGATGAGTTTTTAATGTGTAATGAGGGATGGTTGCAGTGTCACTTTTGTGTTGCTTTCCATTTTTCTTTCAACAGACAAATCTATGTGTTATATATTTTGGTTTAAAAAAAAACCTTTAATATTCTTTTATTTATTCCATTGATTCAACTTCAGTTCTGTCTTAATATCTAAGATTTTGCAAAGACTAAACCACAGTTATATTACAATTAAAACAAAAAAAAAATCAATTAAAATATAACCAAACTGAATTTTATGGTTTTAAAAAATAAAAGAATAAATAAAGTATGGGAAAAGATAAAGGAATATTTTAATGTCTTGGTTGAAGTGTTCCAGTTTTTAAAAATTTTAATTATTAAAAGTAGCTTCTTATATTTTTTGCCTAGATTGTATATTAATTATTGTTGTTTATTTCACTTATTTTATGTAATTAAAATAATAAAAAAAAAGTCGTATAAGAGATCTATTAAATGTAGAATAATAGGTTTGAATGATACACATTAAAATATGTTCTGAAAATATATTGATAACTTTTGTTTCAAAATGAATTCCCCTTAATTTTATGGGACATGTTATAATTTATTTTGTTATATTGCTGACAGGCCAATACATATTTCCTTTATATTCTTTATTCTAGGGTATTTAAAAAAGACTGGTTAACTTTTTTGCTATTTTAAAAGGAATAAAATTTTTTTTTTGTATGGTTATTTACCCTGTTCCTATGAAGATGTAAAACTATGGACAACAGAGTTAGATTTCTTGATTGATACCAAATCAAGACATGAACACTATTGGTTATTATTTGGTTCTTGTAATATCAAGACCATATTGTTTCTGTACATTCCTCTCATCTGTGCACAGACCCACCAAGCTTTTGGTTCTCATAACTTTGCAGTCGCTGTTAACCAGCCTGCTAGTTCTGTGTCACTGCTTTCCGATTTTAAAATGTTTTTTTTCCACTTGTTACTTCAGCAGCAGGTAGCTGGGATCCTCAGGTAGCAGCTTCTTCAGGTAGGCTGTACTTACAAGCGGGATTCCTGTGTGTGTGTACATATATATATATATATGTGTGTGTGTGTGTACACACACACACACATACTTTAAAAATTAGGAGATCCAATGATTTTGCTACCTTGGTTTTGACCTTATATCATTCTCAGGCAATTTTTATCACTTGACCTCCCAATGCTTTATTTAAAAAAAAAAAAAATAAAAATAAACAATGAATGCTATATTATTTTTAAAAATAAACTAACATATGGCATTGTATGTGACATAAAGGGATGAGGAGGAGAAAAGCAAGCGTATTATAAATGTATTGGTGGGAGGGTTAATTGAAATGTACATACTTTTTTAACCAAAAAAAAGATGAAAACTTACAACAACCACAATAAAATTAGCAATCTCTGCCAACAGGAAAAATTAGTAATAATGCCATTTCCAGATCCCAAAAACCTTTTGAACCAGAGATCTGAAGTCATGAGCCATTGCATTCATTTAAGAAAATTCCTCTTAAGCTCATATGAAACTGGATAAAAAAAAGTATGTACATTTCAATACCCTCCCAACAATATATTCTTGCTTCTTTCCTCCTCCTCTTTCTTCCCTTTTTTCTTTGCGTCCTCTTCCTCTTTTTTTTTATCATACCCAATGTCGTGTGTTTATTTTAAAAAATAATATAGCAGTCATTGTGTGTGTGTGTGTGTTTTTTTTTTTTTTTTTTTGTTTTTGTTTTTATGTTGGGAGGTCAATTGATAAAAATTGCCTGAGGATAGTGTGAGGTGGAAACCAAGGTAGCAGAATGAAATTGATCTCCTAATTTTTAAAGTTAAGCTCTACATGTAATTTTTTATATTTGTTTTTTTACACATGTATTCAGGACTTTTTAATACTACTGTTCCCTGGTCCAATTCAACCCTGACTATTAATCTTTTATGTATTTTATATATATATATATATATATATTGTTATATATGTGTTATTTTTTTTTCCATTTGTTATAAATATTTGTCAGATTTAATCTATCTTATATGACTTACCTTTGCATATGAATTGAGAGCAGATATGATAGATAGAGAAAGAAAGCAAAAGTGTGTGCTTAAAAGCATTAATTCAAGATTTTGTAACGCAGAAGTTCTCTGTGGCTGAATGGTTAGAGCATACTAGGCTTAATGGTGGTTCCTCATAGGATGCAACTTTGATTTCTGCTAGAGAAGACATTTTCTATGAAATTTCTCAAACATTCAGGCAGATAAATATAATTAATACTGTTTAATTAAAGAGCAGAGCATTTACTTAAATAAATATATCCATAAAAAAAAAACAAAAAAAAACGTATAAATAAAAATATATTAAAAATATTTGTCGGATTTAATCTGTTTCCTATGACACACACACACATGCACACACACACACACACACACACACACACTGCATATTTTTGGCAGCATGTTTTCATTGAGACATGTTTCATTGAATAATTTAGACAAGTTTTGTCAATTTTCAATTGGATCCGTTCATATTCACGGACAAGCTTTTTGGTGTCATTATTAAAGGAAGAGAGAAAATTACAGTGTTGATATGTTTTATTTATTTTGATACTTTCAACATTAGCACAATGTCATCATCAGGGTGTTGTTTTTTTCAAGACAAATATTGTAGTGTTCATTTACAAAGACAAAATTGCTGTGTTCATCTGAAAGTTGAAATTTTTTTACTTGTGAAGTGAAGGACATTGAGCTTAGTGCTGTGCAGTTAGCTTGAGTAACGCTTCAGGGGAGGTAACAAAGTTATGGGGTTGTTGATTTTTTTTTTTTTTTTTTTAAATAAGTATTACAAACAATTAGTACAAACCTTGATATTTTAAACTGTCTACTGTAAACATTTTAAAACTTTTGTGCAGTATTCATAATTAATTTTATTAAGGTTTGGTTTCAATTTTTAATATAGATAGCTTCAAGAATTTTTAGTTTGTTTATTATTTTCATGAAAAAGTATAGATGTATTTTCAACAAGAATTTTTCTGAATTGTGAATATGGACAGTTATGCTGCTGTAAATGATTAGAAATGTTGGACGTTGTCTCAGCGACTGAGTTTTCATTTGAATGATGCATTTCTAAACATACACACAGACATGTAGATACATATACGCACACACACACACACCTGGTATAACAGCAGAATTGTCCAAATCGTGTAAAAGCAAAATTTTCCATTTGTTAGATTAAGCTTTGAACCGTTGTATCTTAGAAATGATTAAAGATATCTTACTGGAATTCTCTGAGGGTTTTATAACGCTATTGGACTACTTTGAGTAATAAGAATGTATAATTACTCTCCAAGCTTAACAGAAGAATCGTGATGAAATCGATCATAAACAAAAATGACATTTTCATTGTTAATTAATCATAGCTAAGAATTGGAAGCTCATGAAGGATTGAAATAAAGTGCAAATATATATATATATATATATATATATATATATATATATATATTATTCCAGGATCGTTTTCCAACTTGTTCAAAATAATCTTTGCCTGCTCTAAACTAATTTCTGTCCTGGAGTAACAAGGTGACTCACACATTTCATGTACAATTTCATTTTCAAGTCTTTTTTTTTTCACTGCTCTTTGATCTGTCATATCTGAAACTCCTTTCTCACGTCAAATGTCTTATGGATTGAGTTGGATCCTTACTAATTGATCTCTTTAGCTCTAAGTTGAAATGATGATCCCTCTTCCTGTTGTAACCTCCTGATTCAGTTTTCTTCTTTACTGTCCCCTCTTTTTTAAACTTATTCACCGTTCTCTTGATGGTTCTTGAATGGACTTTGAAGATGGAAGCCAGAGTATGAATTTTGGTACCATTACTTGAAGGCCTGAATTGTCTTTTTCCTCTCACCAATGCTCATTTGGGAAGGCTGTGCGACTTACACAAAATAGTTTTAACCTGTTTTCTTTCTAGCTGAATAACTCAATGGGTTTTTCAGTGATTCTTATGGCAAATGGTGTGAAGATGGCTAAATGTCTTATCTGATTACCTGGTAAAAATAAACCTGATTAGGTTAGTGTGTGTGTTTTTTTTTTTTTAAGATATTAAACATTTAATAGGATGGACAATTATGCTGTTACACGCGGTGTGCACACACATATATATATATATATATATATATATATATATATATCTCAAACAGAATGATTGGATAAAAAACAAATAGGAAATGCTTATAAATCTATTATGTTTCATGTTTATTAAAGTTTCATGTGAGAAAGCAATATGCATTATCATCTGATCACTGATTTATATGATTATATATCTAAATCCTGCATAGACAAATTAGTGTTATAATACACTAACACTCATAAATTATGACCGTGATGTCTGCTTAACCAATGAAAATCAAGATAAATATTCTGAACAAATTGGATAGGCTAATATTTTGATTGTCATTTTTTTTTTTTTTTTAGAATTGTTACATTTCTGGCACAAGTTTCTTAAGATTTGATATAATTAATGTGATGAGTTTTTAATGTGTAATGAGGGATGGTTGCAGTGTCACTTTTGTGTTGCTTTCCATTTTTCTTTCAACAAAAGGATTTTTCATTTAAAAGACAAATCTATGTGTTATATATTTTGGTTTAAAAAAAAAAAAAAAACTCTTTGATATTCCTTCATTTATTCCATTGATTCAACTTCAGTTCTGTCTTAATATCTAAGATTTTGCAAAGACTAATCCACAGTTATATTACAATTAAAACAAAAAAAAATCAATTAAAATATAACCAAACTGAATTTTATGGTTTTAAAAAATAAAAGAATAAATAAAGTATGGGAAAAGATAAAGGAATATTTTAATGTCTTGGTTGAAGTGTTCCAGTTTTTAAAAATTTTAATTATTAAAAGTAGCTTCTTATATTTTTTGCCTAGATTGTATATTAATTATTGTTGTTTATTTCACTTATTTTATGTAATTAAAATAATAAAAAAAAGTCGTATAAGAGATCTATTAAATGTAGAATAATAGGTTTGAATGATACACATTAAAATATGTTCTGAAAATATATTGATAACTTTTGTTTCAAAATGAATTCCCCTTAATTTTATGGGACATGTTATAATTTATTTTGTTATATTGCTGACAGGCCAATACATATTTCCTTTATATTCTTTATTCTAGGGTATTTAAAAAAGACTGGTTAACTTTTTTGCTATTTTAAAAGGAATAAAAATTTTTTTTGTATGGTTATTTACCCTGTTCCTATGAAGATGTAAAACTATGGACAACGAGTTAGATTTCTTGATTGATACCAAATCAAGACATGAATACTATTGGTTATTATTTGGTTCTTGTAATATCAAGACCATATTGTTTCTGTACATTCCTCTCATCTGTGCACAGACCCACCAAGCTTTTGGTTCTCATAACTTTGCAGTCGCTGTTAACCAGCCTGCTAGTTCTGTGTCACTGCTTTCCGATTTTAAAATGTTTTTTTTCCACTTGTTACTTCAGCAGCAGGTAGCTGGGATCCTCAGGTAGCAGCTTCTTCAGGTAGGCTGTACTTACAAGAGGGATTCCAATGCACTATGAAAATCCCTCTTTCTCTTTTGTTGCATGTTTCATTTTGTTGTAAACACACACACACACAAAAAAAAAATTAAAAAAAAACAACCCCTTCAATAATAATTTCTCTCTCCTTTCAGTTGTAGACTAACACTTAGTATATACCTCTTTGGCACTGTAATTTTTCAAGCCTTTATAAAATCCTTATGTTTTATCTATTTGTGAGAAGACATCAGAGATTACATGTACTTTACTTACTTTTAAAATCTTATTTGAATGTCTTTATTGTAGAATGGCCTTTTTATGATTAGAAAATTTCTTAAACTTTCTAATGCTAAAAATAGACATCTGGGTACATGGACCAAAATTGAAGAATTGTAAATTTCTATGTAACTCTTCAGTAGTTAGATGTATTAGGTTCTACTTTTTACATTCATTACTTACTTCTTGAACTACTATAAAAAGGCAAATGCTATGATTAACTTGATTTTTGTACAAATTTATAAAGCATAAATTGAACTTTAAAGAAGGCATTTTGGGGATTTGTTTGTATTCAAGTTGCTAGTTTTCCTTTAGGATTCAGAGAATTTTTAATATAATAAAAATAACTTGCAGATTATGATGGTTGTTTTATCTCTCAGTAATTATTATAACTAATTACATTAAAAATAACTTAAATTACTTAAAATCAGACAGATGACCTCATTTTTTTGTTATCAGATTTTGACCATTGTTTTCATCAAACTAAACTTTAAACTCTGCTTTTTTTTTTTCATATTTGTTATATTTTCAGGAAAACATTCTGTTATAATTGTTTTATAGAAATAGTTACTGTTAATAGAAAAAATTAGTTATAAGAACAAATCCATTCTTTTCTTCACTCCCCTGCCCCTGCTCGCCTAAAATAGAAAAAAAAAAAAAAAAAAAAAAAAGAAAACTCTACTAAATGCAGGGGTCCTTTATGACAAATGGAGATACCTGGCATTTGGTGTTTGAACCTAAAGTCAAGCCCCTAGTCTCTATCTAAAGGAAAATTGTAATTTATGTGTTGTAAACAAAATATATATATATATATATATATATATATATATATATATATATATATATATATATATATATATCAATGAGTTGCTAAAAGGAAATTTTTGCTGTTGATGATATAGTTGTTTGGTTTTAACCCTAAATTATTTTTCACAATCCTTGTTAGTAACCTATCCGAAACATCCAGCTCTTTTTCTATTTTCCTCATGTTTCTTTGTGGATTACTTGTCACCCTCTTGACAACTTCAATGATTTTCCTGATACGAACTGAACACTTTTTTTTTTTTTTTTTTTTTTTTTTCTGGAATTGGATTTAATGAGATTAGTTGATCCCTCTGCAAACATTCAACTGTTTTATCACCTCACAATTTTTATACCAGCCATTTTTAATGTGACAATTTAATCACATTTTGTTTGATCTACCATATTTAATTAAACTGTAAACAATAAAACATAAGAATGTTAGGAAACCTATTGCCAAACTTGAAACTATTTTTATAAATAGGTTTGTTTATGCCACACCGTAAAAATGTATTTCTGCCCACATAAAAATTGAATTACCAAATGGTTTTAATGGGTAAATACTTGTGTTTTTCGGTAGTTCTTGTCATTTAAGTAATAATTTTACAAGTATTACTTTTTGTGTCTAATATTGTTTTCCTTGGGGAAAAAAAACTAGTTTGAGCAAATACATTTCTAATAAAAACAAAAATATATTAATCTTATTGAGCAAAGAAATAAATATTCAATGTAACAGACTTGTGTGTGTGTGTATATATATATATATATATATATATATATTAGTTTGTTTAGTTTTATATTTTGCATGTTTGTCTCGGTGACTAGAAAGATGAACATATTTTAGGCATCATTTCTTCATTTGGTCAGAAATTGTTAAATATTTTCTTTAGCAGGGAAAACAACAACATTAGATACAAAAAGTAACACTTGTAAAATTATTATTTAAATGATAACAACTACACAAAAAAAAATGTTCTGACATTCATATATTTTTTGTATGAAGCACATGCTTTTTTCATACGTTTTTTTTTTTTTTTTTTTCTTAGGGCATTAATTTCAGTGCTTCTTTGCATTTGAGACAATTCACATCCAGTTTTAATCATCTTTGCATTCATTATAAATTTGATATTAGTAGCAGTTATGCGTTTCTGTTCAATAGAATTGGCTATATTTAGGCTTGGTGTACTTAATTCATATTTGCTTGATTCATTGGGGTTATTTAGTATATTTTTGAAATAGATTTTTTTTGGGGGGAAAATTCTGACCCTGATGACACTGGGTGGGGGTTTGAACCTGATCCAAATGTTTTAACTTTTCATATATTTTAGTTAACACCATAAGTGCGAGTTTTAAGCTTCAAAGATATTTTAAATGGTGGTTACTGGGGAGGAAGAGAAACAAAAGGGGATCTCTGGTTGAAAAACTTTGACTACCCCTGGTATAAACCAAGAAATGTTTATCAAATTTTCAGGATATATTTATACAATAAATGTAAATTTCAGCTTATATCTGTATTATTAGAAATATTTATAATAAATTATTTGGTGGTAGGAGATATTATTATGCAACTCAAGCATTGTTCATCACATTGTAAGATATTATAGCAGTTGGTATTTTTTTTTATTTTAGCTATATAAAGATTTATATGGTTGATAAGATATAATCTCAAAAGAGAAACAAGATATTGTCAAATAATTCTGTGATGGGAACACAAACTTGGAAATGGAAAAATATTGAACAGTGATTATCAAATAAATAAATAAATAATATTTTTGGCTAAAATTGGCAACAAAATTATAAATCCTTTTAAAGTTGATGATGGTATCAAGATAAATACATAGAATTATAAGTTTGGATAAGATGTTTTTTGAGTGGTACAGATCATGACCAAAAAAGATTTAAGCTAAATAGCATATTCATGTAAAACAATATTCGTTTACATTTTACAAGCATGATTCTTGCCTGCTTTACCAAAAAGGTTTTTAAAGATACTAAATTAATGAAATGGCTTCCAGTTGCTCTAGATATAGATACAGTAAAAAATAGTTTATCTGTAAAAGAGATTTATATGAGAATTGGAAATAATATTCAAGTAAAAGTAGTCTTTGGTAAGCAAACTGCTACAAATGTTACAGAATGTGGAGACTGGGCCAGGATGTTGAGCGATTGATCAGAATACCTTGTGGGCATAATATTATGACAATGAAGGATTGCCTTTATCTAAATTTTGGATATAAGATCAAAACTAAGTCAACAGAGGGATGCAAGAATTTTGAAGAGTTGACATGCTTTCAATACCCAGATTCCTCAGAGAGGCTAGCTCGCACTTACTGGAGTGTTATGCCAGCATGTAGGCAAGGAAAGTACCATGTCTGTCCATTTCAGATAATAAAGCAAATGGGGGAAAAAAAAAAAACAGTCTTTCATTGATACAGTTTATGAAGTGGTGTTGGGGTTTGGATGGAATCAACTGGCTACATGGAATGCAACAAAAATGCTAGAAAAATTAACAAAATCAGAGAATTATAGAATGTTAATAAACTGATATTAACATGTAAAATAATCATTCATTTATGTATATGATATTGATTTTATGAAATATGTTTCTATGGCATATATCTTTTGGATTTAGTTATAAATGAAAATTTGTTGCATTATATTTGCTTAATAAAACTTGACATTCTCAAAATAAGTTATCCATATTTTTACTCATGATAGAATATATAGATATACTGAAACTCATACGATATATTTACTGATATAAGTATTTTCAGAGAATTTTATCCATATGATTGGTTAATATTAATTTTATTGTGTAAACATTGACTTGCATAATAAAATCTGACATAGTGTATTAATAATGATGATGTGAGTGATAAAATTACAAACTCCCATATTCAACATTTTAACTTGATAATTTAAAAAAAAATTTCCCAGTTTAAAATGATTTAATTTGAATAAATGCATATTGTTCAAATATTAGGTTGAGATATAATTTCTGCTTTTCTTCATCAACTTTATTCTTTAAAAAATAAAGTGCAGCACTTTATTCAATTGTAAATTCTCCATTATTTGCAACAACATATTTCTACAGGTTTTGATGTGAAAAGGTTTTAGACAAACTCTTGAATTTCATTTTTGTTAGATAAAGTTTTCCTTGTCAAAGCATTTTGCAATGATAAAAAAGTAATAATTGGTTAGTGTAAGGTCAGGTGAATATAGTAGGTGGGGTAGAACAAACCAACTTACACAATTTTTTTCCTGTTATTTTTTCTGTATGCAAACTTGCACTGTCATGAACAATATTTTTTTGTATTGACAAGAGTAGGATGCTTTTAGAGACATGTTGCAGCTGCTGTATGTATAAAAGTGCATTTAGTGTTTCATCGTGTTTTAAGGACTTTAAATAAATAATATCCCAATGATCCTAACGTATGCACAATGTTACCTTTCTTCCATGGAACTTGCCTTTTGGGGTTGGTTGTTTAGATTTATTCTTGTCAGTTCACTTTTTGTATTGAACTTTGTCAAATGTAACACATTTTCCATCACCTGTTATGATATAATTAAGGAATGGTTAGTTAGGATGTTACATTCATCATTACAATTGGTTATTAAAAACGGAAATTATGTATGACACACCTTAAGAGAATATGAATTAGTACATGTATATAATTACAAACATTTTTATTCATTTTAATTGTGCAAGTTTGTTAATAAAATTCTAAATTTTTAAAACTAAATTTTTATTTTTCACTAATTTTAAAACTATTTTAAGCTCTAAAATGTTTGATAAGCACACAAAGGATAAATATCCCCCTGTCCACCTCCTAGGAAAATGGTTAACAGCTTTTCAATTTTCAAATGAACACCCTTTGCTGATTTTGATTTAATTTTTCTTTTTAATTCCAGCCAGTCAACAAAGCTCATCATCTACACAATTGGCAGAATTCACCAGCCCACCTCGCCCAAATGTTGGTCTGCTTGGGAGAACAATCCAGCTTCGTGCTAATTATTTTAAAATATCTATTCCTAAAGGCTACATACATCATTATGATGTGTGTATTACGCCGGACAAATGTCCTCGGCGTGTTAACAGGTAAGTACAGTCTTGGTGTCATTGATTTTTATGTAATGAGTAACCAAACAATAAATGCAACAAATAAAATCTAAGATGCTCATGAACAAGTGTGTGTGTGTGTGTGTGTGTGTGTGTGTGTGTATATATATATATATATATATATATATATATATATATATATATAAATCTGCTGTGAAAACAGTAGTATTGATTTCAACAAAGCCTTTATCAGATGATTACCTTGGAGTTAGGGTCATGATTTTGGGGCAGGCACATTAACCCATGGTACTCCAGGCATGATCTCATGATACCATCAGGCTTTCTTGGTTTTCAATTAATATATTAATGTCAGATTCATTGTGACATCACTATAATTCATAATAGTCAATGTTGACTTTAAAAGTATTTGAATAGATGAAAAACTGGAAAATCCCAACTCTGGATAATAAACAGAAATATAGTTGAAAGTGTTCAATCACAAACATTTTGATAATATTTACATTCATTGGACACAAACATGTTCTCTTGCCCATAAAGTTTAATCAGGAATACCTAGAACAATTTAGCATTAAAAACTCTGTATCCAAATTAGATAGGAAATATATTGGTTGTCCAGCCGTTTACATAAATCTCATTTATGTTCTATTTTATTATTGCAGAGAAATTATAGAAACTATGGTACAAGCATATAGCAAAAAAATATTCAATGAGGAAAAACCAGTGTTTGATGGACGAAAGAACCTGTACAGTAGAGCATATCTCCCCTTTAACAGAGATCGGGTAAATTTTCTACAATTTTATTTCAACTTATTTTAGTGCATTCACATCTCTTACTTTTTTGTTCTGTGAAAAAAATGAATTGATTTAAAAAATAAATAGGGTAAAAATGTTTTACAATTTAAAATATTTGTGTAGTATATAATTTTCATTGTTTATTATATTATACTTGATTTTTCTTTGTTCTTAATTCTTAAAGGACTCTAGCATTTTTATGATGAAATTTAGAGATGGAGCATAATTTTTGACAAAGTATATAAATCTCTAAAATGGTTTTTAACATTAATAAATAATAATCAATAAAAACTAAGAAAACGATTATTATTAAAAGATATAAGCTTACCCAAGTTTTAAATTTTTAATGTTTCAATTTAGTCTTAATTGTCAAATTATTGACAGAAAGCTCCCTTAAAATCTATTAGATATTAAGCTTTAGATAGTAGCTGAAAACCTGTAGGTGGGCTCTTAAACAAATTCTTGCAAGAAGGGCCTATGTCTTTTGATCCCAGCAAGTTATCATGCACATTTGAAATGGAATCTTATTTAAAAATCATTGCCATCATCAACACTTAGATCATGTTTAAACTTAAAATAACTGGAGATTTTGCAAAAGAGGACAATTAAGCAAAAAATGATAAAGATTTGCTTTAGCTAACCTGATGTGCACATAGTAAAGGTCCATCTAAATCAAACCCTTTAGGAATTTTCAAAAACTAATATGCAAAAAAGAAAAAAAAATAACTGCTCCAGAGTCCCCTTAGTAACCATAGAAAAATTGGTTGCTATAGCTCTTGCTGAACAAAATGACAGTCAAAGATATTTGATGAATTAAAGTATGACTGAAGTTTTCTAAAATGAAGGAACAAAGCCACATAATGGGCATAATTTCTTTTTGATATTTATTAAGCTTTGCTTACATTATTATATTGTCAAAATCTCTGATGTTTCTGTGTGATCTTTCATCTTAACTGTTGATCAGATTCATCACCAATTTGGTCGTAAGGAAAATATATATATTTTTTTGAATTGTGCTGTTAAAATGATTTTGCCCTTTTTCTCCTCCCAATGTTTTTAGGTTGAGCTTGAAGTCACATTACCAGGAGAAGGCAAAGACAGAATATTTAAAGTTGGTATCAAATGGATTGCACAGGTCAATCTTTTCGCTTTGGAAGAGGCACTCACAGGACGAACACAACAAATTCCATTTGATGCTATTCAGGCTCTTGATGTAGTCATGAGACATCGACCCAGTATGACGTAAGTGATATCAATTGGTTTTACATTTATGCTATATATTTATTTATTTTTTTTATTTACTTAATACGTTTGCTGAAATACTTTCACAGATTTACCTAAGTACATATTGCTGCATCTAGTTGTCTTTAGGAATCACTTATCAAAGTTTTCATTTTCAACCAGAACACCACAGTCTAACAGCCATGGGATTGAGTATTAAGATCTCATGAGGACAGATGACATTGGTACTCAAGAAATGATGTATATTTTATTGACCTTTGTTATGGAAGACATTTTGTTCATAATGCTATAAAGTTTTTCAAATAGCCTTACATTGATATCTGATATGGAAGGCCTTAACTGCTAGAAAGAGTTTTACAAGCATTAATCTCCATATGGTATTAATTTTTTTTTTTTCTTTAAATAAAAAGTGATCTACCTCAATTTCTGAGATGAGGTATTGTAATTATTTACATTTTATTTATTTATTTGTTTGGACGGTTGTCCTCATCTTTGCTGTCACATTCACAACGTTTCAGTCATTGTATGCTTGGGTCTTCTTCAGCTGATAACAGTCTGAACAATGTAATTAGTGTAAATATTAAAAGGTGATTGCTGCCACCTTATGGAATTTACATTTTTAATTTTTTTTTTTTTTTTTTTTAGTGATGTTCACCCTGTACATGGCTTAAGAGCCACTCGAAGTAGAGGGTTACAGAGTAAGATGCACAGTTTATGGGGATATGTGGGGAAGATAATGGTTGATTCTAAACTTGAACAAATTAAGATTGTAGTATCCTCTTGGGAGTCTGTTCCACAACTTCCATTTCCTTCTTCATATGCTCTGATAAGTCTGATTAAATAGTCTTGCTTTTGGTAACTACTTTTACCGTTTTCTAATTTTGATTTTTAGAGGTCAGATGGTTTCTCTCTCAATCTTTATTGCAACTGCATAGGATATTTTGAATGTAACTTTTGGTCATATTTTTATCCCACTTTTGTGAAGCAGTTACTTATTGATAGATTTTTTGTTTTTTTTTCATTATATAAATGTGAAGAAATTGGAATTATTGATTCTGTTTTTCTTACTAACTGAAGAAATTGCTGTTGAAATTTATTTTAACAGTTATTATTTTACTATTATAGTTTTTGTTTTTAATTTTGTATGAATGTATTTTGATTTTATTTGGACTTGGTCTGAAGCTATATACATAAAAAATTGTAGCAAAGAAAATGGCAACTTACCTTGTCAAACCAAGCAACAGTGTGTTGTATGTATCCTACATCAGAAAAGAAAGTGCGCATGTGACACAGCAAATTGGCTCTGAGTTGTTACTCTGTGTGAAGGAGAATTTCGTGAGACAAGCAGCTATTTCATTGAAGTTTATCCCCTCAAAATTCTACAAGCTATTTTGGACAAGCAGTTACTGAATGGCTTGAAAAAGCAGAACTTGTTTGCAATCTGTGTGGAATCAAGAAGGTTGAACATGTTTTTCCCTTGATATTGACTGGAGGAGCATTTGCTATCTACCACCAGCTAAGTACAGAGCAAAAAGCAGATGCAGAGTGACAGATGCTAATCTTAAGAACATGATTGGGGACATAGCAACAAGAATATGATAGAATGACCCCGCACACAGCAAGTGGTGCACAAATGGACACACTTATGATGTGTGGGCCGATGCAATTCTCTTGCCACATGTAGAGGATGCATGTTGACTGCAGCCTGTGAATGGCACACAACATATTAACTTAGCATAATTCGATGCTATCCTGTCAATTTAGCACTACTCTGTGGTGCAACGGGGCTGCATCTTTTCATGGACTCCACATGTATGCACCAGTTGGAATTGGACATGCTCACTGACAAAGCAACAATAGGAATTAAGGTGGCAAGTGAGATGAGGTGTTTGAATACTCTTGAAAAGCTGGTCTAATATTAAGTTATTGGCTACCATTACTTTAGTAACATCAAGTCAGAATCAAGCAGATAAGCTCACAAAAGTACTGCAATGATGGTATGGTGTGATCAAGAAGGAGGTTGAGCCAGCTTGACCGATATGCACTTCAATGATGAATGACATTTCTCCAGACCAGATAAGTGCCATACATTGCCAATGTGGACATCCTAGGTCAGGTGGATGCTGTATTTTTATGAGTTCACCCTATGACATCTAAGGCGGCAATCAGGGCAGTGGTCAGAAAATGTAAAGAATGACATCTGATTGACCCAGCCTCAAGTGTGGCTGGAATCTGAACCCGCTTGGGAATGGATATTACCCATTATGGTGGACAACACTACCTTACATAGGTTTACTGAGGTTGATTTGCGATATAGCAATGTCTACTTCAACAAGAATCAAGAAGTGTCACTTGACAGCTGGAAACTATTATTTTTTTCTTTTTTGAATGAGACCCACCATCAAAAATCCTAACTGACAATGACACTAGTAAGTCTTTTAAAGATTTCTTGGATGATTGGGGAGTCCAACTTTGTTTCTGTTGTGCATATGTTCCTGCAGGAAACAGCATAGTGGAAAGGTCTCATTGGAGCATAAAGAGAACAGCAGCAAGAAGACATAGTTCGATAATGGAGGCAGAGTACTTGTATAACATCATACCAAAAAATGACGTATCATCCACTACTGTACCCACCAATATGATTCAATGTTACCAACTTAGTGAAGGGAATTAGTACAACATTACCACCTGATCATTGTAAGAATCACTTCATGTACAGATTTGGAAACAAAGTGTGAGTAAAAGCTCCCCATGGCTGGTATACCTCCAGATATCAAATGGTTGTGTGACAGACCTTGTAAGTTCACAAAAAGTAATAGTTTACAGGTGCCTCTACATATAAAAGATCATTACCATTTTATAGTCTCTGGTACATTGACATGCGACTCTGATGACAATTTATCATCTGAAAGTGATTGGGTAATTGAGCTCTATGAATCTGATGCTTCCACAGATGCAGACATTCTCAAAACTCTGGATATGCCTGATGACTCCTCAGGAAATGACTCTCAAACACACATAATGGAGATGCTCCCATTGCGACAAAGCACCAAGGTAAAGAGATCCACTCCAGATTGTCTGATTTGTGATCATGAGATCAGGGGGTAGTGTAGCGAAGAAAATGGCGACTTATCTCGTCAAACCAAGCGGTAATGTGTTGCATGTATCCTATGTCAGAAAAGAAAGAAAGCGCACATGTGACTCTTGTTTACATATGTGAACGTCATACAAATTTTGGGTTGCCCCTCAATCAATCCCTGACTTCTTGACCTAGATATAAACAGGTGCTGCATGTGACCCAGTGGTGAATTGGCTCCGAGTCGTTACCCAGCAGCTGCTGTATTAAAGTTTATCCCTTCAAAATTCTACAAAAATCTTAGGGAAATAAGAATTGCCATCAACTGTGAGACTCATACAGTTTTCTATTTTAATCATTTCACCCCCAAGCATGGCAATAAAGCCACTAAGACACAAGGGGGGTTACCTAGTGTGAAATAATGAGAAAGATGAGCAGGAATTAGAGACAAAAGATAACTATTAACATTGCATTTAAATTTTTGAAGATCAAAGTTGACTGGAGAGCATGAAACTGGAGTCAAGTTCAACAAGCGAGAAGTGTGAGAGAAGAAAATTATCCCTATACATGGACAGGGAAATGAGAAAAATCTACCTATATATATTAAATGAAGGTTTTACTTTGAAATTCTTTGAAAGTTACCCAGACCGACATAGATCTGAAGAAGGCCATAATGGCTGAAACAATAATTACAACAAAGATGAGGACATTAGTCTGAATGTAAGTAATGTCAATAATCATCCAAAATATCTTTGCTCCTGATATGCAGACATGATGGTGTGGATTGCCATAAGTTATAACTCTCACTTGCCTTCAGCGTTTTTTGGATGGAATTTTGAAGGCTGTCATGTTATTCAACTCCTTTTACTACCATTCCTGTCCCAGCAAGATAATGCCTGCCCACTTGATACTTGCACATATTTATCTGTATATATGCGCTATCATTAACTCTCATCCAGCTATAAATTAGCTGTATGTTTAATCTTGTGTAAATTGAAATATATGTTCAGGGGATTGCAATTTTATTTTTAAATATTTTCACAACATCTTATTATTGCAGTAAAAACAGAAATTTAAAATTGTAAGAAGAAATGAAAAGTGAGGAGAAAGAGAAAAAAAAATATAATTATTTTAAAGAGGTAAATCGAAAAAAATATGTATTATCTTGTTGGGATTCCCCCACCCACTATTTTAATCATTGTGAACAGCTTTGTTATTCCCCATAGTAGAGCTCTGATTGATTGAGTGATTTGTTTTTAATGTTTTTTGCGGCTTATTAAGGGTATTTGTATGTAATTGAATATAACAAACCCAACAGGAATTGGGACTCTGCTCTCCAATTAACAATTCTGAGCCATTATCAATTACACCACCTGCACATCCAAGCTTACAGTATTGGGTATTCCCAAGGGGTCACTCATCTAGGTACTGACCAAACTCAATGTTGCTTAACTTTGGTGATCATACAGGTTCAGGTGTTACAATGTGATATGCCTAATAAGCCTCATTAGAACTCTGAAGAGTGAGGTATGATAACCAGTCACCTCTTTTTTTATTCTTTTTCTTTTTTATTTAACTTTTTATATCAGTATGTATTTTCTATCCTCCTTATTCTTCATTTCCTTGTACATTTTTAATATGTCCAGTTTTACTGCAATGGAAAAATCTTTATTTTTTTTTCTTTCATATTTAACTATAAAATAGATAGCTAGTAAATATAAACTTTGTTCTTTTATGTTAAATAACATTTTAAAATTTTAATGAAATTCTTCAATTATCCTTTTCAAATTGGTTAAAATTTATTGCTATAAATTTTCATGTGCAATGTCTTTCAGATATACACCAGTGGGTCGTTCTTTTTTTTCACAACCAAAAGATTATGAACATCCCTTAGGAGGAGGTCGAGAAGTATGGTTTGGTTTCCACCAGAGTGTCAGACCATCAAATTGGAAAATGATGTTAAATATTGATGGTAAATTCATTTTTGCCATGTTTGTTCATTCATTTTGTTATATTGTTTGATTATTATATAATTTTTTTTTTTTTTTTTTTTTTAATCATTTTGTGCTGATCTATATCGCACATACATACATACATACATACACACACTAATACAAATCGCATACAACGACAAGCATTCATTGGCTAATTAATCACTACTATGTTATTATAGACAATTTACAAATCTCAGCAATGCAATAATTTTGTAATTTCTCTATTTTCATGTAGTCAATTTTGTGCACTTTTGGGAGAAATGGATCACTGAAGTTTTCTTAAGCCTCCTCAAAACTCGCTTGCTGATTGGTCAATGACAACCAATCATATCGTCTGCATGTGAAGAGTAACTTTTCCCGCCCAACAATCTGGAGCCTATAGTCACCTATATAAGCAAGAATTTTTCTTAGGTAATTAGTGAGAATTCAGCTGTCAAACGAATCCACGACAGATGAAACCATACGCCAAACTTCTCACTCGCACACACCACTCACATGCTGAACATTCTTTATACACTCACATAATCTTTTCTTACACAATCTTACATCTTGCAAAATCTTCTGAGAACAGTCATAAGAAACTCTCATAAACATTCTTCCAGTGAACTTTGAAATACTAAAATTACAGTTAAATAGAGACAACTCTTGTTTTATTCAACCTTTTCTTACTTAAATGCATGCTTTCTTTCACATTGTTGTTTGATATTATACATCTTGTTAAATACATATTTTATGTGTAACGATGTCTTTTGCTTATCCTTTTCCACATCAGTCTTGTTTCCTGATCTAAAGTTAATTTAATGTGGTGAAGTCCGCCACGGTTTCACCCCAAGCCATGCAATAAAGCCACTAAAACTGAGTGTGAGAGAATGAGGAAAAAAGACATTATTAAATAGAAAGAACCAATAAAATAAGATGAATTAAAAGACGGACTATAATGATTTACATTGCATTTAAATGTTTGTTGATCAAAGTTGACTAGAAAGCAAGAAACCAGAAGAGTGCTCTACAAGTGAAAGGTGCAAGAGAAGAAACTTTTAGCATAGAATTTATGGTTACATCTAGCGGCTATTTCAACTGTAAAATGATGAGACCTTGCTGTCAATCTAGTACTGCGCTTAAATTTATAAAGTCTAGGTACTATAGAGGAAAGGTCATCATAACAATTGCCATGAAAATATTTGTAGAAAAGGCACAGGGAATTAACAATTCCTTAAATGATTATGGTTTGAGTCTTGGAGAAATCTTTTCATTCTAAAATTGCTTGTCATTTTTCTAAGATTGAACTACTCATTTCTCTTTAACCAGTGAAGACATTCTTTTTTGCTGTATTATGGAAACAAGTCAAAAATAAAACATTTCTTTTGTAGTGTCTGCCACTGCATTCTACAAAGCTCAGCCTGTGATTGAGTTTATGTGTGAGGTTCTCGATCTACGGGAGATTGGTGAACAAAAGCGACCGCTTACAGATTCACAGAGAGTAAAATTCACAAAAGAAATAAAGGGTAAGTTGTTGTTTTGTCTTCCTTAAATTTTTCCACCTTGCCTTCCTCACTGATAGCACTTGTGTTATATAAAAACTGTCTTTTACAAAGGATTAATATGGCAATTATTGAAGAGTATTTGTGCCTGTGTGTGTAGGAACCAAACCTAACATGTTAACAAAATGCTTTGTTTTAAAACTTTTCAACTTTGTCTCATCATCTCCGTGTGTGTGTGCATGTATGTATGTGTGTGTGTGTATATATATATATATATATATATATATATATATATATATATATATATATATATATTACACAACAAAAAAACCAAAATTACCCCATGTTGGTATAGATCTATTTCATCCAATGCTAAATATGTTGGTCTTATTCAACCCTAGTGGATGGACTGTATTTGTGTCAGAATTAGGGTTTTAATATTTAACTTAAACTGCAGTTGAAAATTTGAAGTCGAACATACCCATATTGGCGCCTTTTGCTTTATTTAGATGTATAATGCAGAATAAAGAGGAAGCAAGTTAAAGCAAGAGGCAAAATTCCATCTGCAATTGTTCAAATCAAACAAAGAACACACCCTCTTGACTTGCTTTTTTGACCCTTCTGGTTACATGGAAAGACAAGAGACCTGAGCAAGAATGTTTTGACACTGACTACTGTGGCTCACTGTTTTCTTTATATATTTAAATTCCAAACCATGTAATCATGATATGTTCATAATGTATAACTTTATGCATTGCTCTTATGTCGTGTCTACCTTTCCTTTAAACATACAAACAGTAAGTTTTTTCTTTTCTTTTAGTAACCTACATTTCTGAAGATGTTAACACTAGTCCATGGCTTTACAAAAGTATCTATTTTACTCTAATTAATAATAAGTAAATTAAAAAAAAACTGTAAGCAAAAGTATGTGACTTCACTTGTTTATTGGAATATAAAACTCTTCACTGTATAAAAATATTTTAGTGTCATGTATATACTGCTCAAATGTTATTTACGATCATGAGTCCCGTTACTAATTAGATTTGTAAGGGCACCACATGTACCACATCCATGGTAGAAGTGGTGTGTTTTGGGCAAGATAGCTTGATAGAGTCCAACCCTCTCCTGTCTGGTTGGAATTTAGAGTTTTCCATCAACTGAACTGGTTGCCAATTCCTCAATTCAAGCTGCAATCCATTACTCCACTGTGCCTCCTGACAAAAAAAAAAAAAAAAAAATAGATTCAGAACATTAGTTAGCTTTTTTATATCACTGAATCATTCAGATAATATTCCTAAAAAAATAGTGAGAGAAAAAATAGAATACTATTGAGGGTTGCTGAAAATTTCTTGAACTGATTTACCAAGACAGAATTTTTAGTCAGGCTGATAAATTTTCAGTGCACTCTTGTGTATTAAGATCACTAATGTTTTTTTTCTTTTCCTTGTACTTACAATGTAATTATCCTGTTGGATTATGGAAGCATCTTGTGTACTTAAAAATTTTATTTTCAAAGCTCAAAATTCATGTTATTTTTTCAATATTTTCAATTGTAAAAAACACAAAAGCAATTAAAAGCATATGGTACCAGTGACCATTTTTATTTTTTATTTATTTTTTTGACAACTTTTTTTGTATTAGAGTTAAGATGATAATCTGTTTAAAAAGCATCATTCCTGTCTGAATTTCTGGGATGAGGAGTTATCATTATTTACATATGGATTATTGTCCTCACCTTTGTTGTTATTATCACACTGTTTCAGCTATTATGTTTGCTGGATTTTCATCAGGGAATTATCTATCTAGGTAACCTTCTGAACCTTTTATTTAATCCATGGTTTGATAGATTGTACTCCTTCCACTGCCCATGTTTTGGGATAACTCCTCTTGTTCTTATTTAGTATTGCTCGGTTATTGGTCGCCCCGTTTCCACTGAGTTTAAGTCTACACTACCCAGCCCAGGGATTACCAATTACAACAATTACCATGCTACCAAATTCATGAACCAACATTTCAGTCCACTAGAGTTTAGTTTGAAAGTCCTTGAATTTTACTCTGATCGACCCCTGAAGGTTAGAGAGCACAATGGCCAAAAGATTATGATAATAATAACAAAGATAAGGACATTAGTCCAAATGTAAATAAGTATTATCATTGTTTTAACAGTGTTATGCAACCATTTCAAATTCTGATTTTATTTGGAAGATTTTGTTTAATTTACAATAGGCATTTATTTTCTCACTTTTGGTCTATTCAAGTGTTCCCTGCACTGGTTTTTGTTTACTGTAATCTCTTGAAGAATTATTGCTTCAATAGCAAGTATAAATGGCTTTTAAAATTACAGTTTTATGGCTTTTTTATATTTATTTTTAATTATTACAATGAAAGATGGGTTTAAAACATGTTTCTAAACATTTGACGTTTGTTCAAGTCAGATTTTGCTATTTATAAATTAATGCATGAAAAAAATTGATTTCATGTAATTGTTCAACAAATTTTCATACTAAAAAAAAAAAAACATTTAAAAAAATTTTTGATTTTTATATTAACATACCTTACATTGCAGATTGAGTTTAAGGTCTTATTTTGTTCAAAGAAAAAAAAATATTGTCATGCATTTTTATACATTGGATACATGTATGGATTGTAAGTGGATAAGATTTTATGTTAACTTTTTCTTCTATATTTCTAAAAGAAATTTTTTTAAGTTGCCTTATAATTAAAAAAAAAAATTAAATATAGAAATTCTTGTGATTTTTCCCAATATATACAAATAATTAGGAGGGAGATAGTAGTGATGTTCATCATGAAAAGGGATTATTAAAGGCTAACATTTACAAATCAAATGATAAATTAGAATTACTTGAGTCCTGGAAAATACATATTTCAGGATAGCTTGCATTTTTACTTGAATGTCAAAGCAACCTGATAATCAGTGAAATAGAAGTCAAAATGAAAACCGGCAACTGTATATTAAGATTTTGCAAAAATATATCAGTTGGAAATAAATTGAAAAATTTTAGTTTAACTGCATGTGCTGGCATCTGAAATGAGACAAGTCTGTCATCTTCAAAGAAGACTTTGCAGAGAAGCAAGCCCTGTATTCCATGTTTGCAGATTTTGTTGGCATCCTGTGTAAACCCTGATGGAACATGTGGATTCTAAAAAGGGAAGTCATGTGTTGTGTTGTCATTTATTTATTTATTTTTTGTTTGTTGGTGTTGTTATAATATTGCTATTTATTTATTATATATTTTTTTATTTCTTTTTCTCTTTTATTAGACTATCTCTTGTCTAATCTTCAATTTGATAAACAATTTTTTTTTTCCTAGCAAACAAATTTTAATTTAATTTCAATTAAGTTTCTTAGGATACTACTTGAATAGGACCCCCCCCCCAAAAAAAAAAGTAAAGTAAAAAAGATCTTTTTCTTTTTTAATTTATATTGAGTATTTGTATAAATGAGCATTTCTGTTATTTGTATCAACATTTTTTTTTCCTCTAAGGCTTGAAAGTTGAGATCACGCATTGCGGACAAATGCGCCGTAAATACAGAGTTTGCAATGTAACCAGACGACCAGCTCACACACAATCGTAAGTGATTTTTATTCTTCTAAAATTGTTTACGTTTATTTTTTTTATATCTTCCTTTTTGGTTAGACTTCATATTTAGTAATTTATTATTTCTTGTAAAGTTCTTCAAAGATAAGTTTACAGCAAGTTGTCTTTATGGACTTTAGCTTGATTATATTCAAACAAGTAGTTATATTCACCTCTTAATTGCTGTTGTTCCCAGGCTCATCCTGACCTGGGGTGGTAGCACCTATTAGGGCTCCAGCTATGGGCAAATAGTTAACCCTCAAACTGGGGTGAAACACTTTGAAAGTATAAAAAATACCAGCAATACATTTTTGTAAAGAAAATTACTAATGCTCCCAAGAAAATTGAATTTTGGCATTAAATCACCCATAAGGAGTTGATATACTGCTAAACAAACAAACCTAAAAAGGTTTTGTTTTATTGAAACTTAAAAAAGGTAGGGGAGAAATTATAACTCTTAAGACCTAATTTGTTTCTAAATTTATCAAAAATAAAAATAATTTAGATAAAGTCAATTTACTATTTTGTTTTGTAACTAATAATTACTATTTTTCCCTTCATATAATTTGTTCTTCCCATAAATATTTTCTAGTTTTCCACTGCAATTGGAGAATGGCCAAACAGTAGAATGTACTGTATCAAGATATTTTTATGATCGATATAAAATGAAATTACAGTAAGTATTGTCTTTCATATCCATTTTATAAAAGGTTTTTTTAGTAATTTTAAATTACCTAATGTTGTACAATATTAGCCACATTTTATTTTTTTTTAATTTCTCGAAAACTAATGCCCTTTTAGTGTGCAGGATAATTCAAATAATATTTATAAATGATAGACAACCATGTCCCTAAGAATTTTACTGGATTTTATAAATTTCACATTATTACTGAAACTCCAGGACACCTTTATTAAAAATTATAATTATAGAATGTATGCAGAATTTACAAAGACAAATGTTTTGAACAAACAATTGAAATCATGCACACACAAGTCAGGAGAGGTGCTGAGTATTGTGTAGGACCTCCTCTAGCCTGGTTGAAATACAGCAACTCAATATGGTATTGATTGCACAAGTAATTTGAAAACCTGGAGAGATGCTGTTTTGATAGCTGTCTACAGCTCCTTCATATTTATAGGTGTAAGATCTTGTGTGGGTGGAGTGGCCTCTCCACCACGTCCCATAAATGGAAGTCGCTATAATGCTCCTGAGGTCAATTTTGGTCAACTTGGGGTCCAATCACATGGTACTGCTGGAATAAGACTTCATTGTTGGGGTAGATGTAGTTTATAAATAGATGCAAAGAGTCACAAAGTAATGTAAAGTAGTGGTCACTAGTTAATGGCATGTTTAGGCAAACCAGCAGACCCAACACACAGTGTACATACCCTATACCTTTATGGAACATTGTCGATAACTGGGAGCCTCATGGTTAGTGTGCCACACTCAAATCCAACCATCATCATGAAGCAACAGACCACATCACATGTTGCCAGTTTTCCAGTTAGCAATATAATGGCATCTAAAGTTAACAGGGCCACCCTGGTGGGTCTTCTGCACCCATACTCTATTGAAGCTAAAGAACGCTGAACTGACCTACTGGATATACATCTGGCACCTCCTGCATTGAATATGGATGTAATTTGAGCCAGTCTCATCTATTACCACAAACAATTCTAGCTTGACTTTTCTAGTCACAATCATTAGTAGTTGGCCACTGCACTGTCTACTCTGAGAAGTAATGCCTTCCATCAAGTATCCGAAGTACACATGTAACACTAGACAAATGTTCCCACAATTTCAGAAATAGAAAACCCTAATCTGTCTAGTACTATCAATCCCTGTTTGAACTCCAATAATTTGTCTTGTCTTGTTAAACTGATATTAGTCAAAGCATTTCCATGACATCAATGTATAGTGGCATTACCTCTCATTATCTTTACATAGTGTTATTAACTTTTAGCACATCACTTCATATACAGACCCACCCACAGTGGGTGATACTTGGCCTGATCAAATAACCAAACATCAACATTCTTTGAAGAATTCCTTCTTGGTAAGGCTGGCAACTTTTCAGCACCTCTTTGTAAGCCATTCACATTAAAGGACGGCAAACCACCATAAATAAAATTTGTTTAAATCTGTGTGCATATCTTAAAATACCTTTGAAATGAATGTCTATTCTCATGCTGATGTGGAATAAATTTTAGTAGCACATTGTTAAAATGACCTTTAAAGGTCATTTTAACAATGTGCTACTAAAATTTATTCCACATCAGCATGAGAATAGACATTCATTTCAAACTTAAACATAATAAATGCTACACTACCTATTATGCCTTTTGAGAACCTTGTTTACAACCGGATGCTATTTTTACTTTGCCGAAACCCTACAAATTGCATTGAATTTTCTAAGTCAGGTGAATTCAGCTCCATTATCAATGATGTATTTGTAAATTCGGAGTTAGGCATACTGCTAAATATGGTAAATAAATTCCTATTTTTTTAATGCCAATTTTTATTTTCAGGTATCCACATTTACCATGTCTTCAAGTAGGTCAAGAGCAAAAACATACTTACCTCCCCTTAGAAGTGAGTAATGTTTATTTTATTGTTTTTACCAAAGATTTTGGCTAGTCTTATCGATTTCTATTTATCTTTTGCTAATTCTGTACACATAAATAAATATTAAATATTATTTGTTGTTTAATTTTATAAATACGAACATGTTTTTCTTTTAGAAAATTTAAATATGATAGTGAAAAACTAAAAAAATATTTTTTCTCTGCATTTAACAAATTAAAACATAAATTGTCTATTTAAAGCATAAAAAATACCGGATTTTTTTCCTGATTGAATTTCAAAATAAAGACAAATAAAAATGGTTACTGGTTAATTTTAAAAAATTTATCCTCTTGTGCTTTTGATGTAGAAAACATTTAAAAGAAAAAAAGAGCAAAATAAAGACGGTTTGAAACATTATTAGAAGTGAATACAAATATTCACCATTCTTCACAACACCTTCATATATATTTTCTTTGCCATAAACAGAAATATTTTGTTGTAGTTGATTATAACACTGGCATAATGATTTCTGTTTCATTGTATTTTTCATAGATTAAAATGATCTTGAAATATAAAATAGGATTTTGTGAAATGAAATCATTTCAACATTGACCTGTCATTTATGATTTGATAGTTTCCTGTCATTCCTTTCGGACAAAAAGTGATAAGTTTTTTTTATATTATAATCAAATGTTAATTACTCTTGTTTCATTTTAAAAGAATGTATTTGAATTTGAAAGAATTACAAAATGTTTCATAGTAAATAAAGTCAACTAACAGGAAGATTATTTTAATTCAGGTTGTTAATGTTAGAGAAAATCAAATTTGAATGTTCCTGCTCTTTGCACCACATCCTATTATAATTATGATTTTACCTTGTTTCATTAGTTTGCATGACTGTTATGTCCTGCCAGTACTTCATAAATAATCGTGTTTTGATCATGTATAAAGAGAGGAAAAGACACTACTTAGTTTCAGTGAGAAAATGAATAAAAGAAAGAGAAAAAAAAGAAAGAAAGGGAAGATAGAAGTGTTTTATGTCTGTTTCAGTGAAACAAAAAATAGTTGTTAATTTCAAATCTTTTCATTTGTACCCACTTCTTAAAATAATGGCCATTATTCATATTTATGATTCTTATTGCAATATTTTGTTAAAGTTGTTAAGCTCAAATATTTAATGATGCAATAGGGGAATGTCTATGGGCATTTTATTGTAGAACTTGCTATGAGCTTACTCCAATCATTAACTGAAGAATTCAGATTCATCAGAATATTAAAATAGGCAAACTGAAATTTTCATGCATTAAAACTTGTTAGATAGAACGGAACTAATGTATGGGATATTGTATAGTATGCAATCATCAATATAAAATTTTATGTCTCCAAAGAGTATTCAGGTCATACTCAGAACCTTTTTTTTTTTTTTCTTTTAAATAAATGAAGGTGATATTTACTTTTTCAATTACTCTTAGGTGCTGAGGGATGTTTATTTATTAAGGGAATGTTCTGGCCCCTCTCTCCCTCTGAATTTAAGAGCATTTCATTTATTAATTTCACTTTTTACCCTTTAAATCAGTGGTTCCCAAACTTTTCTTCCCTGGGCCATATTTTTGGAATGAAAATTTGCTCATGCCTCAACAAATTTTATGTGATAAAAATACATTTAAAATAATAAACAGTAAAAGGGAGATAATCGTGGATTCGAAATCAGAACATAACCATTGGTAACTCTCTCCTCCAATTTGCAAAGTCTAGTTACTATCTTCTTAATACTTGATATAGTGCAAGAATATCACAATGATAAAATTTGTCAATAATTATAACTATTTCTACTGGACCTCAGGCATGTAATTACATGTAATCCATATTTATTTTTGGCATATGAATTTTTTAAAAATGTTTCTAAATCTTTGATTGTTTTTGAATCATTTGCTTCACCTGCTATCCTCTTCTGCCTCACCCATGAGGCAGGTTGCACCATTTGGGAACCAAAACTTTAAATGATTTTCCAAACTACCTCTTTATTAAGATTCCTCAAAGTTTCTTCCATTATGAGAAAAATTTTGATTTCCACCCTGATTATTACCCCCCTCCACCTCACCCAACCTCTTGTGTTAGGCATCTAATAAAATGGTATTATCCACTTTTTTTTGTAAAGACTGTAACTTAAAAAATCTTTTTTCTTTGTTAACCTAGGTATGTAATATTGTTGGAGGTCAACGATGTATAAAGAAATTAACAGATATGCAAACATCCACCATGATAAAGGTAAGTTGTATACACATCATCATGTAATTAAAAATCTGTTACTTTGATTTGACCTTTGGTGTTTGGTCAAGGATTAAATTTTGGCTCATGATGAAATTATCTTTGTACATGTAGTTTATTGTGTGAGAAATTCACTTGTCTGTGCTACACAGCTGTTTGAGGTTTCCTACAGACCCACTGAACTTAAATAAAGTCAATTCAGGTTTCCTATGGTAAAAATTTTCTTTCCCAAGTGAAAATCATCACAAAAATAGCAAAAGTCATTTTGTCACAGCTTATTTTCTCTCGAAATATGGGTTTTCATACTTTTTTAGGGTAAAATATTGAAAAATGACTGTTTTATCATCACCTAAACGAATATCAAGGAAACTTTTGATCTGAACCCCATGAAACTAGGTATTTTCTGAAAGCAAAAGATATATTCTTTCATTTAAAAGTAAAATTAGCTGGTGTAAATGACTCAAAATTTTTTTTTCAGTGGGTAAAATGTGAAAAAATAGTGAAAATTTTGCATTTTTTTTCTTGTTCTAAACAAATATTTCCCCCCATTAATGGGAAATTAACCATTTTTTTTTTTTTTTTTTTTTGAAATCAGAAAGCCTAGATCATAATCAAACTATTTCAGGCATAAAATTGAGAGTTTTGAAGGAAATCAACATTCCTAGGGGTTCAAAAATGCGACAAAATCCATTGTTAATTTTCAATTATGACTGCCAAGGGTTAAAAAATTGACACCTGGCCACGGAAATCTTTAGTAAAAGGCAAGAGATTTATCTGCAATTCCTAACCACCAGAAACCAAAAGTTGTTTTTTTTTTTTTCCTAAAATAGTGATAAGGGAAAATAAACCTAATTGACTTTGACGTCTAGGTCAAAGGCCAGCCAGCCAGCCAGCCAGCCAGCTAGCAATAAACGGACGGCAAACCTTAGAACAAGTTGTAATAAAACCCACCACTCCCAGATAAAAGCAAAGGGTGAATAAAAAAGGGTTCACAATTACTAGGGCTTCATATAACCTATGTTTGAACAATGGCTTGATAAGTTTTGTTTTGTTTTTAACACCCGTGACCCGGTGATGACAACAACACTTAGCAGCCGACATTGTTTTTTTTTTTTTTCGCATATCTTTTGTATTTCCCATCGCCGGTCCATTTAGCCTTTCTTTTTATTCAATGATGTTCATGCCAAATGAAAGAGAAAGGAATGAATTTTGAATGATGTTATTTTGAAGCGAAAATGAATATTTTTTCATTAAAAAAGGGATTTTTCTCAGAAAATTGTGCATAATTTCTTAATGCTAACCGCCGAGTGACATTTTCCACAGCCAAATCAAGATTAATTTCAGTGAATAATTCCATGTGCAAAAATAGCCGTCTGGATCCTATAAGGTCGCCCTAAAAGGTCCAGAAGTTTACTAATTGATCGAAAACCTGTTGCGCATAATTGTATTTTTCACGGTCAGTTTCCATTATTTCATCTTGATATTATCATTTTCGGACAGCCAAGTCATCAAGGATTCAGGAAAACACTTTGACATAGGTTTTCTTTAAGAACTTTACATTCTATGAGGTGTTTAAAATGTTACTGACGAATGAGATTTTTTGCCGCATATTTCGTTTACGCGCCATGTTGGATTTTCCTATATGACAAAAACAAGGGTTTTAAACAGCTGTGGCTATATTTCATTCGTATATTTCTTTTTTAAGCTGAAGATACAATATTGTTTTACTATCTCTCTCTCTATCTATCTATCTATCTATCTATATATATATATATATATATATATATATATATATATATATATATAAAGCTCTTCCAAGGATTGAGCCCTCTCTGTCATTGGCGTGTTTATTCAAGGAACAAGTACGTAAAAAATTAGCCTTCCTTTCAACCTGACACTGATAGCTCTGGTGAAATGGTTTTGATCCCAGCTTGAGGCAATCAGATGTCTAGCCACACTGATGAGCTGTGATACAGCGAAACAGACTGTCTGTGGATGACTAATATATATATATATATATATATAAACTATTATTAATTAAATAGAGAATCTGTTGCTTGTAAATTGTTAAAATGTCACAGAATAACAATGGTTTTAATTTTAAAAGGCGTATTTTCTGAAATAACAAAATGAAGCTTTGAGTGACAAGAATATTCCAGTTATGTGTGTGTGTGTGTGTATATATATATATATATATATATATATATATATATATATTTTTTTTTTTTTTTTTTTTTAAATTGGTCTTACTCCAAGCAAGGCAGTAATGCCACTAAAGCACAAGGGGTTACAAGCTGTGGAGTAATTAGGAACAGAAAGTAATGATGAATGTGCATTGAAAAGAGTAATCAAGAGGACGGTAGATAGCAATTGACATAGCATTTAAATTTTTGCAGATTAAAGTTGGCTGGAAAGCATGGAGCTGGAAGAGAGTTCCACAAGCGAGAAGTGCGAGAAAAGAAATGGTTAACCTAGAATTGATGGCTACATCTAGTAGCTCAACTGTCAGTTGATGAGATCTCGACACCAGTCTAGTGGTGCACTTAAATTCAAAAAGGCTAGGTACCATAGTGAAGAGCTCATCTGAACAATTACCATGAAAGTATTTATAAGAAAGACATAGAGAGGCAACCTTATGGTGGTGGGAAAGTGACGAGCTGAGCTGCCAGATCAGGACTAATAATATTGCTGATTCTTCTTTGGATCTTATCAAGGAGCTCAAGGTAAATAGCAGGAGCACCGGACCATATATGGCAGCAATATTCTAAGCATGGACGAATGGTAGACTTAGAGATACATAAGATAGATTCTGGAGAGAAAAATTGTCTTGCACAACACAATGAACTGACTTTTTAAGCAGTTGACCTTGAATACTCTGTATTTTATTTATTTACTTTTGTTAATGAGCTTCTCTCTATTCAAATTGGTGTTAAGTACTAATATTTGAGGTTCAATTTGAAATGACTGCAAGCACCTACTCACAGTCTGTGAAAGTAATACTGAATTTCTGTAACTGCTTAAAGGTTAATGAAATTTTTAAGAAAATCAACTTTACAGCAACAACAAAACATTTATTTTACAGCAGCCAAAAATTACTATAGACAGTTTCTTTCTCTATTTAATACATTCACTACCAAACAATATTGTTAATTACATAATGTCCATCTTTTTGAAAATCATGCCATATCTTAATTTTGTCCTCCACACACTGCTGTGATTAATATCTGCTTTCCAATAATTCTGTTTACTTCTGATCTTGAATTAAACATTGTCAAAATAGAAATGTTGGCAATGAAGGTGTTAACAAGGTTTTAGATGTGAAATGATGATCAGATCTTAAATTTTTAAGTTTCAATTTTAATGAAATTTTTAACTTTCAATTGAAATGAGCATTTGCTGAAAATTGAGACTGCTAGGGTATTATTAAATGAGTGAATATTATTGTTATCTAAAAATCTGTTTTAATAATTCATTTAAAAGAAAAAAAAATGTCTTTGTAGGCAACAGCCCGTTCTGCACCTGACAGAGAACGAGAAATTAATAGTTTGGTAAGTACTGAGCTCATTTTTATATCATTAGGTCTCTACATTTCAAAATCTTTTTTTTTTTTTTTTTCTTTTTTTTTAAATTTTTCTTTTTTTTTTTAAATCTTTTTTTTTTTTTTTTATCTTTTTTTTTTTAAAATCTTTTTTTTTTTTAAAATCATTTTTTTAAAATCTTTTTTTAAATTTTTTTTTTTTTAAATCTTTTTTTTTTTTTTTAAATCTTTTTTTTTTTAAAATCTTTTTTTTAATTTTTTCTTTTAAAAATCTTTTTTTCTTTTAAAAAAATATTTTAGTATTTTTTTTAATTAATTACTTTTGGGCATTTAAGAGACTGCTATGATTTGAAGAAAATTTACATAATGTTTAAATAAGTTCCTCATTTAAAACATTAAAAACAATGTTTCAGTTTTATTTTTAAAGGCTTAATTTATTGTTATGACAACATCAAGAAAAGAAAACCTCTTTATTTTCAGAATTGTTCTTTCCTATTTCAAATATACTTGAAAATTTTTCAGAAATTCCACTTGTATTTTATTGTATGAACTTATTTATTTATTGATATCTCTATCCTTATTTTTAAATTAAAATGGTTGTTTTAAATTCTGTTATTTTTTAACAAAACATTTTCTGTTGTTCTGAGTTTAGAATTCTTTTACAATTGTGTAAATAACTTGTCAGATAGAAGTTTCAAAGTCTGTGTCAAAATCCAAGAAGGAGTTCCACAAGGTTGTATTCTGTCTGTCACTCTTTTCAACATAAAAAAAATTAACAACATTGTTAATTGCTTAAATCAAGTAGTTTATGGTTTATTATATGTAGATGACTTTTTGATCTGCTACAGATCAAAAAATATGCATGCTATAGAATGGCAACTACAAGTGTGCCTAAATAAATTAAACTGATGGGCTACTGAAAATTGTTTAAAATTCTCTGCAACCAAAAAAATGTGTATTTCTGCAATCTGAAAAAAAATGCACAATGATCCAACTCTTAGACTTGAAGGAACAGAAATTGAAATTACTGACTAACATAAATTTCTGGGAATCATTTTTGATAAAAAAAACTGACTTACATCCCCCACCTAAAATACATAAAACAAATGTGACAAAGCATTACTATTACTACAAGTTGTGGCTAGCACTGACTGGGAATCGAATCCAATATCCCTCCTGAAATTATATAGAACTTTAATAAGAACCAAATTGGACTATGGATGTTTCAGATATGGGTTAACACGGAAATCCTAACTAAAAACTCTTGATCCACCATGCAGGATTGAGAATGGCTTTGGGTGCCTTCAAAACATCACTCATTGAAAGTTTATATACTATAAGGCACCATTAAAATTGAGACAAAAAAACTGGCAATATAATATTATCTAAAACTCGAATCCTGCCCAACTAACCCTGCCTACCATTATACCTTTAACCCTAAATACAAAAATCTATTTGATAAAAAAGAAAACTCATAAACCTTTGGACTGTGAATGAAAACTATCATAGATGAATCTTCTACCGGAGTACAATTGAACCTATGAACATACACATCATTTCAAAAGTACCACCCTGGTTACTAACACAACCAAAAGTGATACTAGAACTTACCAAACTTTGAAAAGTGAGCACCAATCCATTAAATTACCAAAAGGAAATAGGAATATATGGAGGGATCTAAAAGTGGGGATAAAATTGGCTGTGCATGCATATGGAACAGCATTAAAGGCATGAAACAACTACCAGATGGGTCCTCAATTTACAGCACAGAAGTTCTGGCTATATATCTAACACTAAAAATGATTTTAAGATCCCAAACAACAGAGGTTTATTATCCTTTTGGATTCTACATCCATACATATCAATTCAAAATAGAAATAGCAAGAATTCACTAATGAATAAATTAGATCTCCTCTCCAAAAACAAAGAAATCATATTATGTTGGATACTGAGTCACAGCATACTGGGAAATGAAAAGGCAGACAAAGCAGCAAAGACATCATTAAATATGGAACAATGATCTCCGACCAACCATTAAAGTGTTAAAGAGAAATGGCAGCAGTTCTGGAATAACTGTCATAATAATAAACTACACCATATTCAGCCAATCATCAGTGAATGTTTGTATGGCTGCCAAATCATAAAAAGAGAGAAGGTGGTTCTCACTAGACTCTGTATTAGACATACACATGTTACTCACAGACATTTATTGAGAAATGAAATACCACCAATATGTGTACCATGTTCTGGGAAATCTGAAACAAGTATTACAGAATGAACAATCTTAGAAAACGTTTTGAAAACATTAAACCAGAAAACATTGCAATTTATGAAAAAGATTTGACTTTGCAATAAAATATAATAAAAGATGTTTATAAGTGTTTACACAAACCAAAAACTTACTTTCAATCATTTTTGACAAACAATAAAACTTATTTTCAACATGACCTGATGAACTTTAAAGCTTCTTCTCTGCCATACTTGGGAAAAATTTTCCTTCAACCATATTTGAAGAACTATAAAACCTGTTTACAACACAATCAATTTGCCTCTAAGTGACATAATAGTTTGAGGGCACCATTAAGCACAATCAATCTTTTACAATCGTGTTCTTCTTTTGAATTTAAAAAAAATTTTCTATTATTAAGTCAGAAGGCATTTTTCTTTTCATAGCTGTCTTAATTTTAAAATGTTGCTACATTCTTGTGAACAGTTTATTGCTGGAACTATGTAAGTATGTGTTATAAATTTTACTTCCTTATTCCATGCAGATCATTTTTTTTTTTTTTTTTGTAAAACGAAAGATTCTCAGCTGTTTATTCTAAAATATTTTATCTAAAATGTCAGGTTTCTCGAGCTGATTTCTGTGGAGATCCATATCTTTACCAATTTGGTGTCAGTGTCAGTACAAAGATGGTGGAAGTTGAAGGAAGGGTTATAGATGCACCTAAAATACAATATGGAGGACGGGTAAGTTGCACTTAATGATGATAAGCCTGTTAGAATTAAAACCTTTTTTTTTTGACTTAGGCTGATTGAGAAATAACACTGCATATCAATATTGTGACTTTGGAGATTAAAGAATGAAAATGCTTTTTCTTTCTTCAAGAATTTAAAATTTCAGTTAAAAATCTTACATTTTGATAGAATGAAAACATTCTTTACATTGAGAATAATCATGTTAAATAAATGTCTGAATTTAAAAATTATTTTCCCTTTTAATTTTTGTGTTTGTTCTTTTTAAACTTTAATAAAATTTAAAGTGAATATTTAAAAAATTGTACTACATTTTTGAATAATTATTCAAAGTATATGAACAATCGGTAACCATTGTCCATTTATGTTCTTGATGCTCTTTTTGCTCTTTAAGATGTTTGTTAAATGCAAATAAATCTTTTTGTTTCCAATAAAGTTAGAAGAATTTTGGGTTTGGTGGTGCAAAGACTCTGAACTATCTTTTTATTCTGTCAGTATGAATGTCTTTCTTGTTATAAATTGAAATGATTTAGGCAGATGAATTTCTTCATTATTATTTAAAAATGAATTTTTATTCAAATATCCCAAATTAAAAATACATCAGAATATATTGAATGTAAAGTTGTTTAATAAAAGGTTTGGGCCACTAATTTTCTATCTTGTATTTTAATTTTTACCATATGCTTATTTTATTCTTATTTTGTTTTTTGTTTAAAATGAACCAGTTTATATAAATCTGTGTTTTTGTTGATTTTAGAACTAGCATAATGTGAACAACTTTATCAAATTAATAGTTTTGTATGTTTTGCTTTACTGAATAAAAAGAAAGTGTTTTTTTTGTGAACTTGTAGCCATTAATAAACTGTTGATCAAATAAAAAAAAGAGAAAAGAACAAATTAACCAGTTTTATTTGCTTCTTCTTTTTTTTTTTTCTGACTCCAAGCTTCAATGCTTTTGATTTTCATTCCACAAGAGAAAACGATATTTTATTGACAAAGATTTTAAAACAATTATGAATCTGGTTCAAATAACTAACATTTTATGAGTTTCTAAATATTGAAAACTTATATGGAGGAGGAGGAGGAGCCAAGAAACAGGAGGTTATGGTTGCAAACAAGAGAAGATTGAATTGAATGAGCAGATTTTAAAAAAGACATTTTATTACAACCCTATTGAATCTACCTGAAACATGAATTCTTTTATGTGAAGAAATTTAAACAGAAAACTTAATTTTTCTCAAGTATTCAAATGCAAATTAGTGTAGATATTCTTTTATAACAATTTTAGTTGGTTGGAGAGATACTGGCTGTAAACAGAAACTATGCATATAGGTGATTTTAACAAATTGTGTATTGAATAAGTTACTAATGAACTATATTGTTTCACTTTGTGTACAATTACTATAAAAATAAATACAAATTTTATATTCATACATTTTTACAATTCATTTTTTATTTGATCTCTTGTTGATAACTTAAGTCTAATTTGTAGATGGAATTAATAAAAAGTCAAACTTTATAAGCGAAACTAGTATCAATAAATTCATGAATTTGTGTGTGTGCTGAGTGCTCATATGTTTTCTATTGGGCATAATCACCAAGTCCACTCTTTTGCTTATTTGCCTCATTGTATGTTGACTGTATGATTTTGATGCCATTTTGTCTTCAATGAGGATCTATTTATACTTTTAGGCAACGTTATCTTGGCAGCGAATATGGATACATACTTTGTGAGCTCCAGGAATTCTGCTGATCCTCAGCAAACGAAGCAAAATTGTTTACTCTGTTTTCATGTCCATTTCAAATTGAATTCTCCCAGTGATTGGCTGGAAAAATCACAGGTTCAATACATGCACACATGTTGGTAAACTGATTTTACTTCCATAAGTTCTTAGGGAATTTAAACATGAAATATACATTTTTTGGAAAGCCAAGAAATTACCATCTGTGCAGTTCTACAAGCTCAATAACGATCTCATTTTATAAAGACTTATACCAGAGATACACTAGGACCCATAGTTGGTGGCTGCAAGATTAAATCTTGTTAAAAAGCAATTTCTAAAATTGCTTCTCAAGTAATTTATTTACTGATCAAAATTATATAGCCAGGAAAGAAATTTCCTTAAGTTTACAACAATTTTTTCTTTTTTTTTTAATTTCTCTTTTCAATTTGCTAACCTTTCATGAAGGCTTTAGCATTATGTATAGCCTGGCTGAGAATTCTGAAAGATGTCTCTTTACTTGCTGCCGTTAGGATTTTTTTTTTTTTTTTTTTTTTTTTTCAGTTGACGTTACCTAAAAATAGAAATAGTCCACTGAGATTACATGATGCTAAATCCAGTCTTTTCTACCCACTCATTCTACAATTATTTTTCTTTCTCTTATATGAATGGGAGCAACAATATTTTTCTTCACTGGGCGAGGACCGGCATGACTCGTCCATCCTCGGTAACTTAAAAGTATGCATGTTTCCTATTTTATGGTTTCACATTAAGCTTTGAATAAAAACTCTTGATAATTTCTCTCTTGCTTGATATTGTTCCCCCCCCTCTAGATTTCCATCTGTTCAGAAATACTGATAACATTGTGTGCTTCCATGATGCATTTTTATGACATAATATAGACGTACAAGCTATGTGCTTATGAGAAGAAAAATATCATTTTAACCATTCCCTTTACTAATTTTTCCTGATTGTATCGATAACTCTAGGATATTTTTTTTTTTTTTTAAATTTTTAATTTTTTTTCTCTTGTTTGTCAGTAATCTCATTCAACCAAATTAATCATTTGTATTTCAATTTTAATTCTTTCTTCCTTCATTTCAATAATCCTGTCAAACATAATTTTTTGCTGTGTGTGTATTTTAGGTTAGTAAAAAAAAAGAAAAAAGTGATTTGAATTTCAAAATTTCTTTATTCCTGCTCTTGATAATTTTTGTTAAAAGCAAAATTTTTTAAGGAAAATTAGTGGCCCTACAATTTTTAAATAAATCCAAAAAACATAGCTTAAAAATAAAACAACTTTAAATGTCACCTTTTTCATGAACTTTTTCTAAATCAAGCAGAAGTTCCTATGGTTACAAAGTGGGCAAAAATTTATCTGAGAAAATTGGGGAAAAACATTTTAGTGTCATTTTTATATTTATTTTTAATTTTCATAAAAGCTTTTAATTTGGAAATATTTTTATAAATTTTCTGTGGCAACTTTAAGACTGAAAATTTTCCAGAATCATAGGATGTTTTTTTTTTATACTGTATTCTTGTTTTAACATGAAGAGTTTTTAACTATCAAATCAAATGTTTTCACCTCATGAATGTTACAGCTGAGAAGTTTTTGTATCTCATTTGTAAATGAAACTTTAAAAGATTGAGAAGCATGGTTTTATACATTTGAAATTAACCTTTTAACCAGCCTCATAAGTCTTTTTTTTTCCTTTGTTTTATTTGATTAAACTAATTTGCAATGAATCTCAAAGAACATTTTGTTAATGTCCAACAACAATCAAAAAATGCAGATGATTACAAAATGTATGTGAAATCCAAAGAAAATATAGTGTTTCTTGTTCAATTCAATGTTTGTCTCATTTTATTCTTTGATACTGAATCATATTTGCAAGCATAAAGTATTTCCAGTGAACAAACCCATTTAACTATTTGTCAGACATTCTGTAAGATTGAGTTTTTATTTTATGATTTTGCATATGATTTGTTTTCTTGTAGATCTAGTCTAATGTCAGATTGTCTTGGTGAATTTGTATAACTTTGAAAATATAGTTTGTAATATTGTTTGGTTGGTTAGGTTTGTTTTATCAAAATTGCTTAGCTTTCTTTATAAGCTTTTATGAAAAAGAATTGATCAGTCAGATGTGACAGAAAAAATATTCAAAGATTTATCATTTAAAATGAAATAACTTTAAACCCTCTATTTGTAAACTTTTCAGTTAAATGAATTCTCCATTTTTAGTACAAAGTACTTTAATCCTAGTGAGAGAAAATACATGAGAATCGGTAACAGATTATTTGTGATAAAATAATTTTTTTTAATAAATCTTTTAGGCAAATAAAAAGAAACGTATAGTCTGATATTTGGGAAGAGTGAATTTCTATTAAATTTTATATTAGTTCTGAAGTAAGATTGTATGTTTTGAAACTTCTCAAATAAAATGACATTGTCTGATTTCCAAATTTTATTCCATTGAGTAAAATAAAACGAGGACTATTGAATATCACAAAAGTAATAGCCATAAAAAAACTGAAACAGAAAATAAGAGATTACAAAGGCCAGATAAATTATATATACACCCTTGTGCAAATTAATTGAAACAAAATAAATAATTCCATTATTATTTACATTTTTTTCATATTTTTTTCAATGAAACATGACCAAGTGCACATGTTAGTACTTTGTATATCCATTCCACAAAGTCGTTCCTTGCAGATTGACCACAGATTCTCGATTGGATTTAAATTGGAAGAGTTTCCGGGCCAGTATATATTACTTTGATTTGCTCACTGGTAAGGCTTCCCTGTGTGTGTTCATGCAGCGTTAAAATTTTCATACACTTCCTTGGAGTAATGTCCATCACAGACAATGGAATTAGGACAACTGATCACCAGTTGAGGCAATAGTGTCTGGATGTGATAAAAATCTGATGCAATCATGGATGATGCAATAGTTTTCAAGGCCATAGAAATTTCATCATACATCCCAAAGAGATTCATATTACTGCACACCACTGCAAATGACCTAATCTGAGGAAAAAATAGAAATCAATTACACCCTGTCACTCCAGTGTGTCTAAAAGTGACCATATGGTGAAAGAAAGGAAACTAAAGCAGTTGTTTCAATTAATTTGCACAAGGGTGTAGGCAAGCAAAATTAGTTTTATTTAAAAATCATTTAAAATTTTTTTTTAATACTAATTTATTTTATATATATATATATATATATATATATATATATATATATTGCTCACTTTAGTTGGATATATATATTAACATAGATAATATTGTGACTACTCATTAAATATTTTTAAAAGAATATTTTTTCTTTTATATGTTAAACTCTTGAAACTTTTCATCTTTTCAGTTGAAGTAACAATATTTGGTGTAGGGATGGGATGGTGGGGAAAGAGGAGTCAGGTAGATTTGAGAAATAGATCAGTTTTAGTAGTAAATACATGAAAATGGACTAATTGTTATGTACAGGTGGGTTCTAATAATTTTTTTTTTTTTTTTTTTTTTAACGAAAGCTATATTTAATTATTTGGACAGTTGTCTTCATCTTTGTTGCCATATTCACAAAGTTTCAGCCATTGTATGCTCCGGTCTTCTTCAGGTGATTGGAATTTTGAACTGAACCTTTTATTTCATCTACTGGACAAAATAAAGGACACATGGCCCAGTGGATAAAAGTGTTGGTTGGATCTGATGACTTGAGCCAAAGAGTTGTGAGTTCAATACTTGGCTACTGCAGTGGTGAACAAAAAAATGGAGAGATGAGTTAAAGGGAGATAACTGAGATATCCGGAGGAGGCATGGCATGTGGAACTAGAAAATAAAAGGTGGATGAAATAAAGGGTTCAGTTTGAAATTCCAATCACCTGACAAAGGCTGGAGTCTACAATGGCCGAAATGTTGTGAATATGCCAACAAAGATGATAACAACAGTCTGAAAAATATAAATAGTGTAAATATTTACATCTCATCTCAGAAATATAAATAACTATATTTAAATCTTAAAATTAAGATTTTTTTTTTTGTTTACCTAAATGTTACTAATTTTATTGTAGTATTTTTATTATACTCCAAAGTTCCGTCACTTTAAAAAATACTTGATGATCAAAAGATAAGGCAAAAAGGAGAATGTAAAGTGTCTCCACATTTTTCTTAAACTGAAGTTTTTTTTTTCTCTATTTGTCTGTACTCTGTTAAAGTATCAATGAAGAGCAGTTTAAGTTATATAAATTTGTATATTTTTGGAATTAAATATTTTCTATATTAAAAAATACCCTTTTTTATTTTATTTATTTATTTATTTTTTTTTATTTTTTTTTTTTACAATAATTCTTTTGACTGCTGTTGAAATTTCTGTTCCTGCTAACTGGATGTGTGAAGCTTTTGTTTTCACAGTCAGTATAAATAAATGTCTAGTTATTACTTGGCTTGATTCTTGTACATTAGCTTTGATCTTGTTATTCCCCACCTTCATGTACGATAACCTTTATTCTGTCTTGTTATTCAGCTGGAAACTTAACAAATGTTGCCAATTTTAGAAAAAAAAAGTTATATCTGGAAAAAAAAAAGAAAAAAAATATTGGTTACAATAATCTGCTGAATGTCCATCAGCTGTTGCACATGATTTTGATTGATTTCACAACAATATATTTAGTTTTCACTATTCAAAATAACCTATTCCTTTTAAGTAAAACTTAAACTGCATCTTTTGGCAATTATGGATTTGTTAATGAATAATGTGATTGGGTTTTGATAATTTTTATTGATGCTTACAGCAAATGACTTTGCACTCAGTTGTTGATATTTGCTGTTGCTGCTTTCTATAAATGTTGTCATAAAAATTCATTTTTCTTAATTTTTTAGTGAAAACATAAAAAAACAAACATTGAAATTATATATATGAAACCTTATTTAATATTGGTATAGCTTTTTGGAGTTATTTTCAAATAATATAAGTTTGTTCTATATTAATGTAAGTCTATTTCTTCAGTTCTGAATTCTGATGTGATTACTGAAGCTGATTATTTGGTCATTTTTTTTTTCTTTTTCCTCTTTGATTTTTGCCTGCTTTGTAAATTTCCTTTTAATTTTCCTTATCCAGCCTCATTTGGAGACATAGTGCTGGAAGGAATGCTGTAAAAAGAGCAGGGTGTTTGCTGATGATGAAAACTTTTTCTTAAATACCCACACAGATTTTCCTCTTTTGATTTGATCCTTAACTGTCTTCCTAATTGAGCCAATCCCTCCACTTTTAAGAATCTTGTCATTTGCCTGATGATGATGAGAAAAGCAAAAAATACATACCGTCATTTATGAATATTTTTTTTTTTTTCATGATTTGTAGACCAAAGCGCTAGCAGTTCCGAATCAAGGAGTCTGGGATATGCGAGGGAAACAATTTTTCATAGGAATTGAGATTAGAGTTTGGGCTATAGCATGTTTTGCTGCTCAGAGATCTGTGAGAGAAGAATCATTAAGGTAAGAAAACTTAGTCTATTATGATTCTTATTATGTGCTTGCATACATGAAATAAATATATAACAGGTAAAAAATCTGTGGGTAAGTAATCCAAGTAGATCTTATGAATATAAAATATTAAAACTGATCCACAAAAGAGAGCTGAATATAATTTTTATTATAGAGCATATAAGTGAATTATAACGAATGAGCTTCAAACAATTTAAATTGTTTGAATCTCATTATATATATATATATATATATATATATATATATATATATATATATATATATATATATATATATCAAATGAGAGAAAGAACAGATGGAGTAAAATTGCACTGTCGCATTTACTTTTAAAAAATGCTCAATACAAAGTAGAGCAATATATATATATATATATATATATATATATGTGTCAGGGCAGGGGTGGTCAAAAGTTTCATGTTTATTATTGTATCATCTATTTTAAAACTTAAATGTGTCATCAAAAGGAAATTTATGTTTTGGTTTTTGTCATCTGGTAGTTTTTCAAAACAATTTCATAATTTATCATTTAGGAATTTCTATGTTTAAATTACATGCCATTTTTTTTGTTAGTAGGTAATTTAAGTCCACAACTGAAGAAATTACTATTTCAGTTTTAATCATAACACTTGAAGGCAAAATTCATTTTCTGTGGTTCATTTGAAAGTTAGCTTTTCAGCATTTTGTCTGAGAGCAAAGCATGATACAATGATAAATTTAGACAAATCTTTATTTACACAATTTATATTCAGACCATTGTCCTCATCTTTGTTGTTGTTATTAAAACAACAAAGATGAAGACAATAGTTTGAATATAAATTGTGTAAATAGTGAGAACTCCTCATCTCAGAAATTCAAACAGATCTGTTGTAAAGAATTTGTTTTTGTGTGACGTCACCCTGGCCTCTCTCCGCGCCCGCCGCCGTGCTATCCTGTGACGACCAATGTGAATTGGTATTGGTTGCGGCACCAAATGTGACGTTCTAACCCTTTGCTGATTCGGATGGGAATCTGGTTAGATTCGGTATCAGCTTTGTCATTCCAAGCTCGCCTCCAATGTCTGGTTACTGAAGTAACTGCTTTGATTTCTAGTCTAACCTACCCACGTTGTGATTTGATCTTAGGTAGATGAAATCAATCAGTCGCCAGGCCGCAATGCAACCCGAGTCCGAGCAAAGGTAACACCGCACAAGTATATGTAAAAGAAAATAAAGTAACAACTGGAAAAGTTCAAATGTGTTAAAAAAGAATAACAAATATTTTTATATCTGGTTGCTGAATACAGGACTGCTCTTTCTCCCAAACCGCTAATATGGACTCGCGACACCTTGCGCCTGTCAGGCGAGTCTCAACATCCCAAGTTGTTTTCTTAAGAAACTGTTTTTTTCTGTATCTTCAGGCGACATTCGTAAAACTTGTTTTGGTGGTGTGAGTCTAAGTCGTTCTTCAAAAATAAATTGTTTTTGGCTAGAAGTTGAAGTCGGGATGCGCGTGGATCTTCAGTCAGCTTCCTGCGAGGCTGGTCTCAGAGCTCAACAGCTTCAACTGCAACTAACTTCTCTCTTCCTGCAATTCCAACTACTCTCTCAACTGTCTAACTTTGCTTATATGGACGCCGACCAAAACCAGGTGTGGGCTTGTCTGGGTTTGGGGTTCCTTGACAATTCCAAATCCACAATAAGGATTCTCTTTGTTTTTGGACAGGAAAATTTATTACTTTCCATTTTTGGAAGTTCATTACTTTCTACTTTAAGGGAATCGTCCTCCCAAATTCTTCCTTTCTCATATTGGTATCTCACGCCAATCCCCTTAGAGGCATCAACAGGCCTCCCCTCCTTCTCATATGTTTACCTTCGCCTACTGCTCACGCCACCATTCAGCCAATGAACGCTCAGCAGCGTGGGTGCGGCTAGACTGGCCTCAGTTCAAAAAGTATCACCCAAAGAAAAAAAAAATTATCTTCCCTTTTCTTTTTCTTTTCTTCCTTTTTCCGACATCAAACCCCTACGACTCGTGGTGTGGTCCTTAATCTCTATCTTAACTGAAAGTCACCTGGACTTTATCAATCGAGATTTCTGCCAGCGTCAAGTGGGTGGTTAACTGGATGTATTCACATTCTGTATCCAATTATCCATTCCGATAACAAACTTTTATCATGTCCAGGTTTGGACAATAAAACAGGTGGTCTCTTTCCAAAAAAAATGACATCTCTAAAAGATAGTTAATGGTTTATTCTTTCCTTCTCTCTCTTGGGTGGCCCAGCCGATGTTTTTCTCGGTCAGTGCGTGACCTGATTAATATTATCTCCCAGCTTCTGTTTCGTAGGGGCAACTTGACCAATTTGAAATTTTCATTATTGCCATGGGCAGATGGCTATCTCTTATTCGCCGCCTTGTAACATAAATTAATTCGACATATACGAGATCCTACGAATTTCCTATCTTCGGCAAAAGAAAAACATACTTTTTCTTTTCGCAAAGGAAAATAAAACCTTTACCACTTTTCTTTGTTAAAAAAAATAACATCGCCCAGTGTCTTTTCGTGATAGCATTCTTATCGTCTTAATTATTTCAGCTTCTTCTCACCTTAATTATTTCTCGCTTTTCATTTTCACACGACCGCTAAATAGTGTCAGAATCCTCCCCTAACCTATTTGTCATTTGCTCGTAAATGACACCTAAACACAAATACACTATTTAGCATGCATCATGCATCTGTCCCATGCAATTCTATTCTTCTTTTCTTTTTTACGGTTTTACATGCAAGGTGATGTTCTTTTCACCTTCTTCTGTTCTACATGCAAATGTAATGTTCTTTTTCATCTTCTTCTGTTTCTCCTGCAATTTAAAGTGCGCGTGTGCCTGTGGGTGCATGTGTGTGGTTATTATGGCTTGTTTTTCTTGGTCAATGTTTTTCTCTCTGCTGTAGGAGGTTTTTCCGCCGCACTTGTCGGTTTCACGTCAGCCTCCTCCGTCGGCCTTTCTGCAATTTCTTCACCGATTCTGTATGAGTAAAGAACACTGCTCGACATCTCCCTCTCGAGTTGCTGCATGCTCATTTGATTACCGCTAGTTAATTTCCTCCTACTTCTGATCTTCCATATTGCCATACCCCCATGGCTATAATTATGAATGTACCCATCATTGCTGACCAACTTAACGTGATCTGCTCATTATCTTCCCAAGCCATACCTTCATTTCCCAATGCACTTAACTTGTCCGTCAATTGATCCATATCGATCTTTTCTATCGGCTTCATTAGTACTGGCATTTTATTCAAGGTAACATTGGGGAATCCCCTCACTATTGGCTCCCACAACTCTGTACAATTGACTAAGCTTCTGCCAAGCATTTCTATGATTGAATCTTTCTCTTCATATCTTTCTTCTTCCTGGTAATAGGGGGGTAAGGAAATAGATATCCCAAATGCTGAACATCCCAGTGGTAACTTTAACAGAGATAATGGTGGCTTTACTCTTAATGTCCTTGTGGACTCTCCCCCACATACCCTAGACAAGCTGATGGGTTTCTGTGTGGCCACTGCCCACACCCCATCTGAAACACTGATAGCTTGTGGCAATGCCGTGTTTGCTAATACCTCTACTTGACAGGTTCTCTTAATTCCCTCTTTCTTCCCTTCAAACAATTCTAGTATGCACATTTTGTGGTTACCAGCTATATAGATAGGGCTTAACGATGAACAAGTCCCTAGAGCATCATTTCTACACTTTCTAGCTTCTTCAGCTGTTAGCAACATGAATTTTGTTCTACCTGAATTTAAAGCTATGTATTCTGTTTCCATCTTGTACCTTGCTACCATTCGTGTGGCTACCATCATCATCATCATCGTCAACCCTTTCATTTTGATCATTCCTGCAAGGTAACAAAATTCTCTTGTTTTTATTCTTCATAACCATTCGGTCTTGTTCAATTCCTCACTCAATTATTCCATAATTTCTTTCTAAGTTTGTAACCCTTCAGCTCTTTCCTCTCCTAACTAACTCCTAGCAGACAGAATGGTTCAGACAGGTGTGTGGGGCTCCCACTTCAAAGGCCATACTTCATGACACCACTGCTGGCCAGTTAGCAATGCCAATAATCTTCTTCCGTCCTTCGTGAGGTGCAGCTCGCGACTCCATCCCCTCTATCCACATCCACCACAGTCAGCCAGTAGGTTTTTGGATGAGCCAGTGTCATTATCTGTTGACACCGAGTGCCTCTATTCTGCACAGCCTTCTTTGTTCTATTGAGACTTGGGGTTCTCCACCCTTCTCAATCTCATCTTCAGAGGCAGTTCCTGCTCGACCTCTAACCTTCCCTCGGTGTTTAATTCCCGTTCGGGAGGTGTTTTGTCCCCTTCTTCTTCTCCTGATTCTTCCATCTGCTTCGAGTCCGCGCCCTGGACGTCTTCATTACTTCTTGACTCGATGTCTAAATCTCTCCTGTTTCTTAGTCTTTCTCTGAGCTGGGAAAAGGGTATTTGATCCTCCTCCTCCCATTCGTTGAACACTTCGTCTTGTTTAGGGTGCCTCTTTTTAGAGCCCTTGACTGCTTGATTGGATCTCCTCGCCTTTCTCTTCCTTTTCTTTGGACATGGGGGTGTGACGGTGACATCACAGGGTCTTCTCTGCATCGATTCAGGCAACGACTGAACACCGCTGATCCCCGCCAAGGGTTCCAACTCCGTCACTCGGATCGCTTTGTCTATCTGTCTAAGTCAATCTATCTCTTCATTTTCCTCAGAATCCTCCTCATCCTGCCACTTGATCCCATATTACATATGATACTGGACCCGTCTGCTCTACTATCCGGTAGTATGGTTCCCATCTTTGGTCCAGCTTCCCTTCTCTCTGGTGGATTTTATAGTAGACAGGGTCTCCAACCTTCAATTCTACTACCTTTCTTTCAGCATTCACTCTCTTGTTTCTTCTCTTCTGTGCCCTCTTTATTCTTCTGGCCTGTACAAATATTTTATGTTGTTGTTCCAGCAACAGCTGATGATGATCTTCTCTCTTAACCTTTATCGTCTTTTGGGCCTGGTTCACCATCATAATTGGCACTAATTCAGCTGCCTCCACTACTACCTCACACAGAGTTACCTTATTCTCTTCTAGGCCCTTCCCTTCTACAGGGACCAATTGCAGGGTTCCTTTTTCTATTTTCTTCCCTGTCATCAGCCTACCCTTGCCCGACACTGCCGTTCTGGGGGGTAGCTTTATATCTTCCTCCACCACTATTGTTATATCTTCTTCCGGTGGGCATCCCAATGGCGTTCTCTTGCCATTTACTACCAGCACAGTGGGGTTGAACTCTATCCGAGCCCTCTGGCTCTGAAGCCAATCTTCTCCCAAGATTGCTTCCGTACACAGGTTGGGGGTTATGTAGAAGTTCTGGATACTTTTCAACTTTCCAATCCTCACAGGGAGCGTTGCCATCCCTTGTATCTCCAGGGGGGGGTCCGTCTGCCTGTGTGATTTCTATGTCCGCTTCATGCAACCCATTCTTCTGTTTCACTCGCCTGTATGCTTTTTCTCTCAGCAATGAAACAGACGCTCATGTGTCTATCAGAGCTTTCATTGCCCTACCCCCTATTTCTGCCCTACAAGATGGCTCCTTCTCTTGCGTCAGCAAAGAGAATACTTTGGCTTTCCTTTTCCTGGGTTCCCACCTTTGGGCTATCCCAGCCATAGGTGCCGGTAGCAACAAATTCTTTTCATTCTTCTCACATGGGGGAGTTCTTCGTTTTCTGCACCTGGGTGGTCCCGGCTGGACCCCTCCCAGCCTCCTGCGGCTGTTCCTAAGAGCACAATTCCTCTTCAGGTGCCCTGGTCTCCTACAAAACCAGCACCTTCTTGTTGGACAGTTAACCGCAAAGTGGCCCACCTGACCACATATCCAACATTTTACGCTTCTTTTCTTTAACTGGGCCACCCTCTCTCTTATTCCTGGGGGGACCTGCCCTCTACCTAGGTGGCTCTCCTGATCACATGTCCGTTTTACTTTCCTTCTTTTTAACTGGGCCACCCTCCCTCTTAATTCTGGGGTGGCCCGCTGGCTATTCTGTGTCATCAGAATGGTTATAATTTTCAAAGATTTTCTGATTCTTATAAATGAAATTATAAAAAATTGTTTACACAGTTTTATTCCTTTTTTAAAAGTTATCAAAAATGTAAATTGTGTAATTTCATAATTGCTACTGTTTTCTTCATTAATAGTTGTTATTTTGTGTTTTGTAGGAGTTTCACTCAACAGCTTCAGCGAATATCAAATGATGCTGGGATGCCAATCAGTGGTCAGCCATGTTTCTGTAAATATGCCAATGGACCTGATCATGTGGAACCTATGTTTAGATATTTAAAAAATACATACCAAGGATTGCAACTTATTGTTGTCATACTTCCTGGAAAAACACCTGTATATGGTAAGTACCTTTTCTATTTCTCAATTACCTACATCAGTTCTTATATAGGAACATGGCTTGTTTTCTTTTATTCTTGATTAAATATGTCTTAATTTTCATAATAATAAAGAGGAAAACTGTCATCACTCTAGTGTGCTAGCATGTTTTTGTTCACTTCATTATATTTTGATAGCATTCTTCATGTGTGCTGAGCTTGAAGTTGGCCTCCATGTGTGCTGAGCCTCTAGGATAAAATACAAAAATAAAAAAAACTTTAATTATTTACCAAAATAGATTTTTTTTTCTTGTTTGAGAAATTTAAAAATCTTTTTGGTTTGGTTCTGAAATATTTTAGCTCTGAAAGGTATGCATGAATTTAAATATATTCCTCCTCCTTTGATGTTTATTTACTGCGAAATGTCTATAAAGTAAAATCACGTAGAATTTTTAAAAAATTTAGTTTATTTTCCAATTTTATTAAATCTTTGCAAAAGTTTCCAGCATATTTTAATTTATTTTATTGTAATTAAAAATATTTTCTACTGTGTATTCAGTTGTGTAGCTTTAAAAAAATAGTGCTGATAACTTTTGCACATATCTAATAGTTTGATCTTTCAAGATGGAGATGGAGTTAATTTTAAGCTTAACCAATCTTCTTTATTAGCTGATTTGATTTGCATTCAGGTTTGTTGTAAACAAATGAATGTTATCTATTTATAATAAACTGAATGTGAAGCTGATAGCTGGATTATTTCTTCCTCTAATTGACTGATGTCTGTGCTCAAAGGCCAGTGATTAAAAATTTACAACTATAAATGAATTGCTTAAAAGAAGTTTTAATACAAAGTCAATAATTCATATAAGATATAAGCAATCACAAATAATCAGATGGCAAAATCTAAACAGTTTATTGGAAGTAAAATAAGTGTAAATGTGTAGTACATTATTCTGACAATTGGTGATTTAGGACTCTTGAAGTTTCTACTATCATCAGATTAGACAGGACAGTCATAGATATTGGTGGTGATTTTTTTTTTTTTTTTTCTTTTCAAAATTGTGAGAATTTATGGTTCATTATGCATACATTTAACTATCAGTAGAGCTTCTAAGAGAAATGAAATTGTCAATGTAAACATCCGATTGTATTGATTCAAAAGATGGGTAGTTGTTGGGTGGGGAGAATAGTATTTGTGCATAAATTAAAATCACTTTAAAAAAAAAAAAATCTGTCACGTTGGGGACATTATCATGATGATAAACATTTGCTTGAATTGAAGTGATTACTTTTGAAATGTAATTCTCAACATTTTCTTTCTATAAATATAAATTATATTTTTTTTAAATATAATTAAACCTGATTCTGTTGGCAACCATCATTATGTATGTTTGTGTAGGATATATAACACTAAATGTAATGATACCATGTATATTATAAGGAAGTAGTCATACAAAGAATAAATCAGTAAAGTTAATGTAATTAATGGTGAATTTACTTCACTAACAGATTTAATAAAGCATTAACTTACTAACCACTTGTTGAATGACATGATTCTTGTTTTTAAAAATTGTAAAATGGATTAGATATGCTAGTACTTTTGATAATTCTATTATAATCATCAGTTATGAATATTTTTTTTTTTTTTTAAGGTAAGGTCAGGTAACTTCCAAAACAAAAATGTAATACAGGTTGAAAGATTTTTTTTTGTGTGTGTGTTATTATTAACAGTTACAAGTTTTGGAGCATGCACTGTTGCAACATTAGACTTGTATTTTGAATATTTTAAGTGAAAACATTTTTTGAATATAGTAATATGGCAATTCCATGAATTTTTTTTTATTTTTGTGTTTTTTTTTCCATTAACATGACATGGACTAAATGGTTGAGTCATTAGAGTAATAGCAGTTTTCCAGAAATTTTGTACTGCAGATCAGTCCTTTTAAATCTATTAAATAGTGCAGTATAATTAATATTATAAAGAAGTAGTCATACAAAGTATAAATCAGTAAAGTTAATGTAATTAATGGTGAATTCACTTTGCTAACAGATTTAATAAAGCATTAACTTACTAACCATTCATTGAATTATGCGATCCTTGTTTTTAAAAATTGTAAAATGGATTATTTATAATAAATAATAAATAAATTTAACTCAAAGACACTACCAATATATCAATAAATGTTCAATGGATCTCATTGATTGACTAGAGTTTTGTGTAAAACTGCTTGTCAAGGTCAGATGGTCTGATAAATCTTTTAAATTATTGCATGAAACTCTGGAGTTGGTCAAGATCTTTTTTTTTGCCATTTATGCTATTGTTATAATAAACTTACATATATTTTGTGTCATCATTAAACAAATAGGACTTAAAGATTTTATAATATTAGTTCATTTCAGAAGTAGATTTGTTATTTTTTATAAAATCACAAGTGACAATGTCTAGCTTGACAACTTCATATAAAAAGCTTTTGGTTGCTTTATTGAATTGTTAAACTAGAAAAATGTTGAAATCCTAAAATTGTTTCACATTTCAGAAAATAATGCCACTGCATTAATTCAATTTGATGTTTTCTGTTTTTGCTTCCAATTTGAGCTCCACATTTGGAAACATTTTTGCTAAAAATGTTCTCTTCAAACATTTCAGAATGTGTTTTATTAAAGTTTTTACATGTTTGATGGTTTCATGTTTGAAATTTAATTTTCTACTGATTTCAAATTATTTTACTTTTTCTTCATATTAGGCATTTTTTAAAACAATTAAAAAGAAATTTTCAAATTTATTTTGGGCTTTTAAAAATGAATTTTTGTATATTTAAAATAAAAAATTCCATTTATTTTCCTTTTTTAGCATTATACCATTTCCCTCCCTCAGTTTTTTTGTTACTAGGCATTACAAACCCTCATTCAATCTTCCACACCAAGTTTTTTATCTGAATAAGTCTTAGGGGAATGTAGTAGAAATGTCCTAAGGAAAAAAATGGGTTAGTTATAAGAGAAATAACGAAAAGTGACTTTAAGGGCTGACAACAGATTTTGGTTTGTAGAAATAGTAACATAGAATTTCTATGTTGAAGGTTATTTATCAATTTCATCCACTATTTACATGCCATTTTGCAGTAATTGGATGTGACACAAGGTTGCTTTAATGTGGGGTCTTGTATATGCAGGCCAAAGACAAAAATTCTTCAGTCTTTGTGACCACTGTCACATTGGTGTCAGCATCCATAAACCCTTATTTAGTGTAATTAGGAAGATACTGCTTCAGGGTAAGAATCCCTGGGATTAGGATTCCCTCATAACTCATAAACAGAGAACAGATACTAAACTTTGATTTCACTCTGAAGACTAGGGAAAAGAATGCTGTGGTCTATCTAACTGGTGTCTGGTAATTAGTTCAACATTTCACCACTCCTCTTATACATAAGAAAATTTGTTTATTTTATGTGACTGAAGAATTTGTTGCTTTTTGTTCAATTTCAGCTGAAGTGAAACGAGTTGGTGACATACTTTTTGGTTTGGCCACTCAGTGTGTCCAAGCTAAGAATGTCACGCGTACATCACCGCAAACCCTGTCCAACTTATGTCTGAAGATCAATGTCAAATTGGGAGGTATTAACAGTATCCTTCTTCCAAGTATTCGGTGAGTTTGTCATCATTTCAAATTTTCTCTATGTAAAATTCCTTTTTTTTTTTCTTTAATCATTTCACCCTGAGCAAGGCAATAAAGTCACTAAGCCACAAGAGGTTACTGAATGTTGAAAATGAGAAAAATATACTATTAAAGAGAAAGGACAATAAAAGAACAATAATTAAGAAGGCAGAAGATAATGATTGACATTGCATCTAAATTTTTGAGGATCAAAGTTGATTGCAAAACAAGAAGCTGGAAGAGAGTTCCACAAGCAAGAAGTGCAATAGAAGAAACTGTTAGCAGAACTTACATCTAACCATTTCAACTGTAAAATGATGAGACCTAGCTGCCAATCTAGTGTCATGCTTAAACTCATAAAGTCTAGATACCATAGCAGAAAGTTCATCAGAACTATTACCATAAAAGTATTTATCGAAAAGGTACAGGGAAGTTACGTTACGGCAGTTGGAAAGTGACTGAAGCTGAAATGCTAGGTTAGGACCAATAACATTGCAGATTCTTCTTTGGATTTTATCAAGAATCTTTAAATATATAGCAGGAGTACCAGACCAGATGTGGGAGCAATATTCAAAGCAAGGATGAATGGTACACTTATAAATATGTAAGATAGATTCAGGCTAGAAAAATTAACATTCCTAGCTGCTGACTTAGCAATTGATTCAATATAATCTTTTTACTTCATGTTGGCTGGAAATGTTAGTCTGAGAAGGCACAATGAGGCACTCTCCTTGAGGTTAGCATCTGCCATGCTGAAGGCAAGCAGTTTCATTTTGGAGGTATTAAAATTAACAAGCTACTCCTTGCTCCATTTAACAACAGATTGTAAGTCATTTTTGAGATCAGCTGCCAATTTGATCTTGTCAAACTGATCAGACTTACTATTATGACAGGAGTAAATAGTTGTCATCAGCATAGATGCTGAGATGATGATATAAGATTGTTTATGAAAATTTTTTATTTTTTTAGTAAGAATTTTATCTTTGAAAATTAAGTTATTTTCTCTTCTTAAATCTAAATATAGGAAATATTTGGATGTTGATACTGCATAAATATTTTATAATAATAGCTATTTGTTTTCAATTTTATGAAAAAATTAATATTTGATGACTACATAAAACAAAAAGACGACTTTGCTGTTTTATTCAATTGTTCAAAAAGTTTTTACCTGAACTAATTTGAAATTGTCTCAATGGTGAATTAAGATAATTGAAATGACCTAACTTTATATAATTACAATTGCTAATATGAAAATCTATTTTATTTGATTTATGCTTTAAAGAGTCAAGATGTCATAGATTTAATGTATTTTCCTTGAGCGTCATGTAATTCTCTGTTTATCTTTACAGACCAGCTGTATTTAGAGAACCTGTCATATTCATTGGTGCTGATGTCACTCACCCCCCTGCTGGAGATGCCACAAAACCATCAATAGCTGCTGTAAGATTTTTCCAATTTATTTCTAACAACATTGGGAAAATATTACTTAAATCTTGGCTTGTGACATTAAAGATAGATTGCAACTTGAGCTTTTTCTTAAAGTTACTTAGCTTGTATCATCATGATTTATATAAAAATCTGAGTGAAGGTTTACTTATCAATTTCAAGTTTAGAAGTTATAATTAATAGTTAGCTAAACTTGAAAAAAAAAGTGTATATCAACACACTATTGATGCCTGTCTATATTTTTGAGATAAGGAATTTACACTACCTACATCATTCAGATTGTTGTCCTCATCTTTATTGCCATATTCATGATGTTTTGGCTGTTGTACGATCTGGCCTTCTTCAGGTGATATATGTTGGAATTTCAAACCAAACACATTATTTAGCCTATGATGTTGATTGTTCTTTTTTTTTTTTTTTTTTGATGTTTCAGTTAATTCTCTTTAGTAAGTCAACTTTTTTCTTTTTTTTTTCTATTGAACTCACAATTCTTTGGGTTAAGTCACTTTTTGGATTACTCATCCAATGCTTTTATTAACTGGGCCATATGATCTCAATGAGTGAATTTTTAAAACTTATAAACCTAATATCTCAGTAATTATTTTTTTTACCTTAACTCATATTACAAACTTTTTTTATTGTTGTTTTTCTCTAGCTCTTTGTATTACTGGTTCCCATATTCATGTCTATGATTGGCTGATTTAGGAGATTACTATGGGAAAGGGAATTAACTGAAACTGAGGTAAAAAAAAAAAAAAGGCATGACATGGAATTAGAACAATCTACCCCAAGGGTTTGATTTGAAATTCCAACATATAACACCTGAAGAAGGCCAGAGTGTACAACAGGTGAAATGTTGTGAATGTGGTAATAAAGATGACGACAACGGTCTGAATGATGTAAATAGTATAAATAATGTGATGTTTTGAATTAATTTCTTGTAATCTTTCCTGGTCTTTTAGCATTTAAAAAAAAAAAAAAGGTCTATTTTACTATTTTTAGGTGGTAGGGAGCATGGATGGTCACCCTAGTCGTTATTCTGCTTCAGTTCGTGTGCAACAACATCGTCAAGATATCATCAAAGAGCTGTCTCACATGGTTAAGGACTTGCTGATGGAGTTCTATAAGTCTACCCTTTATAAACCAGCACGCATCATCTTTTATAGAGATGGTGTAAGTGAGGGCCAGTTCCAGCAAGTAAGTGTCAACCAGATCTTTTTCATTTTACTATTTTACAGTCAAATGTTTAGAATATTCAACAAGAGATCGTTCAGTGTACACTTTAATTTAAAGTATAGGCATTTTTATCTTATCATTAAACCTTACAAATATGAAGAAAAATCTTGAAGGTGGTATCAATTTTATTATTGTCTATCATGAAACATTGAATTTTCATTATAAAATTTTGCTTCATTACACATTTTACATATTTTGAACAAATGTTTACACACAATATTCAAATAATGATAATAGATTCAATTTAAGCAGTGCATATATTAGCAGTGCTCAGTATCAAAGACAGCTATTATAATATAAGCCAGTATTTTAAAAATTGTCTTCAAAATGTTTATAATCTGTCTTTGCAAACTCTTAGGCATTACTGTCAGCTTCATGATAAATTTGATTCTCAGATGCCAAGACTGAAATTTTAAACCTTGGATTTGTAATGGCTCTGATAATAAGCACTGTTAAAAATATTAACATTAAGTTGTATTTATTATCGTTATTTGAATATTATTTCTCTCTCTCTCTCTCTCTATATATATATATATATATATATATATATATATATATATATATATATAAAAAAATTTTCCATATAGAATATATCTGTAAAAGACAATATGAATAAAGACAAAAGGGAAACTTATCCTAACTGATGCATTTTGTCCTCCAAGAGATTTTATCAAGGCAAATGCAAGGATTTTTGTAACAAGTATTTATAAACAAGTGCAAAAATGTTGTTAGTTTTTAAAGATTTTAAATTTTGAAATCTTGAAAAAGTAACATTTTTGCACTTGTTTATTAATACTTGTTACAAAATTAAATCCTTGTATTTGCCTTGATAAAGTCCCTTGGAGGATGAAACATGTTGGCTAAGTTTTTCTTTTGTCTTATAACACACACACACACACACACACACACACACCTGGAGAGAGATGTATTAAAAATGCAAAAAAGCTTGAAAAGAAAAAAAAAAATTTTTTTTCAAAAATATTTAAAAAGTTACACTAAGTTCCCACTTTCTCTTTTAGAATATTTCTTTTGCAGATTTTCACTCAAAGATTCCATTCAAACATTTGTGGACACTACTTAAATAGACTGGTCCACTTGTAAAAAGATAGGGACAATTTCTAGAGGAAATAATTTTTGTACATTAGCATTCTTTAGACTATTGTTAGGCTTGTCTGAATCCCCCAAATTTTTTTCTTTTATTGAGTTTGCCTCCAGTTTTCAGTGATTAATGATCCAAATAACTTTCATGGAATTTGAAACTGAAGTTTTTATTTAATCTATGAGGTTAGATTCCTATTGTTCTGCTGACCATGTCCGGGGATATCTCTCCTAGTTCATATATAGTACAACTCATTTATTACTCGCCCCATTTCCAATGAGTTCAAGTACACACTACCTGGTCCAGGGTTTGAAGTTCCCTGAATGTGACCTGAATCAGCAATCACCTGATGAAGGCCTGGAGGGCACATGGACAAAAGATTGTAATAACAACAAAAATGGGGATGACAGTTTGTGTGTAAATAATAACTCCTCATCCTATAAATCAAAGTCAGAATATTTGTATACTTATAAAATCAGTGATACTTCTAGACAATCATCTATTTTGCTTGGTTGACTTATTTGAAGGTCATTCTGTCAATTAAATAAATTAAAAAAAAAAAAAATGGAAAAATGGAACTCCAAAAAATAGATTTTTTTCATTTTGTAGATTCTAGTCATTAGAAAATCTTGAAAATTTTAAGTAAAAATTCTTGACTGTTCTAAAGATAATGCAAGTTGAATTTTTGCTGAATCAGCATTTTCTGTTGATGGACATTTCTATTTTTAAATTCATCAATCTCACAAAAATCCTTATATCTTCTGAGCTACTGTTCAGAAATTAATGGAATTTGATCACCTTATAAATTGTTAGGCAAGGAATCTAAATATCCATTTAGAATTTTAAGTTGACCAAAAACTAGATATTAGCAGTTTTTTTTTTTTTTTTTTGAAAAAATGAAAATTTTTAGGTGGCCAACCACACAGAAAAATATCATCTTCAGCCCTTAAAAGTAGCAAAAGGTGGCACAACATTTGAAAACTATGGTATTTGGGGAATAAATCCCAACAAGTTTCATTAACTGTCTCTCAAAGCTACCAATTCTAGATCACTTAATAGTTTTTTCTCAAAAATTCTGATTCATGGTAATTTTGCAATTCTGATCTAATATTTATTGATTCTGATAAATTCCATTCATAACTTCTTTTGTTGTTGAAACTATTTTTCTCTGTTCTCTTTTGTTTCTATTTAATCATTTAAATTAATGTTTGTTAATTTTCTCTCTTCACATGTTCAGGTGCTGAGTCATGAATTGAGAGCTGTGCGTGAAGCTTGCATTAGTTTGGAGGTTAGTTACCAGCCCGGCATTACATTCATAGTGGTGCAGAAGAGGCATCACACACGACTGTTTTGCTCAGATAAGCGTGACCAGGTAAGTTCTTTGCTTCTCACTATGTTTCTGTATTGCTATCAATCAGGTTGCACATTTTCAATATTTGGCTGCTTTATCACCAACACAAACAATACACATAATATATTGCGCTACTCTTTTATTTATGTGAAAATAATGAGACAAAGTGGAAAACCTATAAATGACTCGTTTTGTCCAGAGTCTCTACTCTCTCTGGCTTCTTCAGGTTAGAATGAAAGAAAGACAAAACAGTTTATGCAAGGTTTGCTTTCATGAAAGAAATTACTTTAATATTAAAATAGCTGGAAACTTGTAAATTCAAAATTCTGTTGTGTAACTTTCCAATTTTGGAAGAGAGCACAAAGTAATTCAAATGTTTTAATAATACAAGACTTACACAAACTTTATGAAAATTGTAGAGTATTTGGGCATGTTTAAATGTAATTGGCAGAACTGCCCAACAAACAGAATTGAAAAAGTTTGCAATAAACAATAATAAAAGAAAAAAAAAAAAAGAACAGGGTAAAAATGATATTAAGCAAATAATATACGCAAGACAAAAGTAGACAAAGCAAGGGTAATGGGGTGAAAAGTTTACAAACTAAGAATGGGATTAACACACAAAAAGTGATGTGGGCATATGATTGCAACGTTCTGACTTCAAAACAAGAAAGAACAGAAATATTGCAGATGAGACTGAGAAATGGGCAATCCTATTGGCTAGGAAAAAATCCCAGCATGCAACTGTATGATTTCGCTTTAAATTTGGTATGTGTGTGTGTGGGGGGGGGAGGAGTTTTTTCAGTTATTCCTGATTGGATTGGAACCAAAGTTTATTATAATTTTTAAGAACTTTATTAAAAGTAATATTCTGGCTCTTTTCTACTTAGCTCTGTTTTCCAAAATTCTGTTGATCACAAAAGCAACATATTGATGGCTAAATAATGATGAGAGCAACAATGTTTCAACTTTGTTAAAAGGTTGGCATTGCAGCTTATTTAATAGCATTCAATACAACTAGTTGCATAAGTAGATTAATGGCTAATCAATGCATTTATGTTACTAGGCAAGTAGGTAAATATTCCTCTTCACCTCAGCAACAGGTATGTGTTGGTGGATGAGAATGTTGACATTGCTACAACACATACTAGGTGTGACAGTATAAACAATCTTGAGGGATCATTTTCGAATGATGTGTGCCAAAATGGAAGATGGGAGAAAATAGACAAGTGTTCAAGGGTTTTTTTTTTTCGTCATTATTAAATTGTTGCAATATTGTGAATCTCTTCATATTTTCATGATCTTTATTTCAAATATTGATTACTTAAAATTAATTCATGTATGGGGGAGGAGGTGCTGAAAAATTCTTGACTAATAAAAAAAGTTGGTTGTGCTAAGAACTTTTCAGCATTGCTCCTAAATACAATTTACAAATATACTTTATGAATTTTGATAATTTATTTTCATTATCTGTTACAGAAAACTAAGAAAAAATCAAATAAAAATATTTTAATATGAATTTTCTTTTGTTTTTGATTAAAATTAACTGCAATATTTGTCAGACATTTCTTTCTTAGATTTTGTTTCCTTTATTGGTTAATGTACATTTTTCCATATTCTATATTTGACATGAATTTTTTTTTTTATAAATCTCTCCAGAGCAAAATTGATTTTTAGTAACCTGGATTATATTCCTTATTTGTATTTTTATTGCTTAGTTAAGATCTGTTTGAATTCAATCATTTCATCTGAGGTGTTATTAAAGCATAGTTTTAATTAATGTTATTAATTACCTAAGCTTACTTCAGCAGAATTAGAACATGTTATCTTTATAGTCAACCTCATTTCTAAAACAATCACCTTATACATATTTCATTTCTTTGGTATATATTTTGAGTACATTCTTCATTTATAGAAACAATACATCAATTTTTGTTTTTTCTGTTCCTTGTTAGCAACAAATTCATGAAATTTTCAAATGATTAATTTTATATATATATATATATATATATATATATATATATATATACACACACACATACACAATAGAATGACAATAGAAAAAAAATATACATTTCAACCTTTGGATTCTTAAAATGTTTAGCTTTAAAATATATATATATATATAATAATATGTGTGTGTCTGTATCAAAGTGTGCGATGGGTAAATTGTCGCCATTTCATATTTTTATTTTTGCATATGAGTGTTTGTTATTGATTTTTGTCTCTTGCACTGTATAGTAGAATCAGTTGGGCACTATCTGAGAAAAAGAGCACCATGATGTAATTCACTCATTAGATTACGTCACTTAGGATCTTCAAAAAGAAGATATTTTTCTTTCCTTCTCTCTTTCTTTTCTTTTCTTCTCTTTTTTATAAAAAATATTGTTTGGATTGGGGTACGAGGTGGACATTTGTGTTATACATAGTGTGGCATTTTTTAGATCAAAATGCAAAGAGAAAGGCACAAAAAAAATACATGACTGCAACAAAAATAACAACACCCACAATAATAAATTAAACAAAAACAGATACATAATACTACCTATCAATTCTATAACATCTAATATTCAGAACAACTTATCCCATTTAAACAACATTCAAATAATCACAACTACTTCAAAAACCATTACAGATATAATCAGATTTAAAAACACCCATAACAATAATAATTCAGGAGCAAGCATATATAAATTGCCAAAACTGTTCCTCATAATACATTGGGAAACATGTAGAAATGAAAAAAAATGTATTTATGAACACAAACAGGACCTCATAAATAACAATTTAACAAATGCACTACTCATATATAGAAATAAATTGGACCTCAATTTTGATCTAAAAAAAATGACACACTCATCAAAAGAGAAAGTAATTTACTTGGAAGGAAAATCTTTGAGAATGCCACTATCGAATATTATCAAAATATCAATCTACACTATGATTTTTTCCCAATCTTACTTTTCTTGAAAGAATTATCATTTCCCCCAAGCCAGCATGCACAACAAATATGTTGAAAATCAAAAGAAAACAGCTAAATCCATCATTTGAAGATGTATAACACAAATGTCCATCTCATATTCCAATCCAAACAATATATTTTTTTTTTTTTTTTTTTTTAAAGAAGGAAAAAAAAAAAAAAAAGAAAGAAGGAAAAAAAAAAAAGAGAAGGAAAAAAGAAAAAATTGTTTTCAAGGATGCTAAGTGATGTAATCAAATGTCTAATACTGAAATATTTCAGTTAACCTGATGAATATTCATGAGTGTCTTCAACTTTAAAAATGATAGAAATCACTCCATCTGTCCACTTGTCAGGTGTGTGCGTGCGTGTGTGTGTTTAGGCAGCATATATTCATTTAATAATATAGACATATATATATTTAATCTATTCATTTTTATCATAATCCTTTCTACTTCTCTAATTAGCTTCTTGATGTTAAGTGGAAATTCATCAAGGAAGGTGCTGTAGTTTTTGTTAAACCAAGTACTATCAGTCTCCTCCAAGATAGTAAACAAAAACTTCAAATTCTCAAGGCTCTCTGTATCAAAAGCAAGCAACCAACCAACACTGAACAAAATTTATTACGAGTGTAGCAGCAATGTTTTAAAATGCATTTAACCAACATTTAATGACTTTTTGCATTTCTACCATCTCTGGCTACTCCTATATATTGGGATGTGTAAATTTAAAATTGTAACAGAGCATGTTCACGTGTGTTTTCAAAAACCACCATCACAACAATTGCATTTACAATAGAATTATTCTTGCAATTCACCCTTGAGGATGATCTCAGAGGAGATCAAAAGTACTTGGGTTAACAAAAACTATAGCACCTTCATTGATGAATTTCAACTTAGCGTGAAGCTATTTCAAGAACTAGAAAGGATTATTATAAAAATAGACTTATGTCTATATTATTCAATGAAACATACTTGAAAGCACTATTGATAAAACCATTATTAGTCTGAAAATGTTCTTTCAAAGAATAAACTGTATAACACAGGAGGTTTTTTTTTTCCATTTTGTCATTCCATTACCCACTATTAGACTTATATATAGATTTGTATATATTTTACAAACATGTGTGCGCTTAAAATTGTGTTTTCTAATTTGTGGTATAAATTCTGGAAGTTTTGCATTTCTTATTCAAATATTTTCCTCCCTGTGTTATATATAAGCAATTTTATTCTTGAATAATTTGTTCTGTGTATTCTACTTTTTTTTTTCTCATCCTATTTAGTGTTTTAATCTACAACTAATTAATATGGTAACATTGTTCTTGTCTTCTCTAAGTGCTATTAGGTACAACAACAACCACAACAACTTTCTTCCAACGTGTCTAAGGATGTACACAGAGCTGGCATTTCTCTCCAAAGCAAAACTTATTTTGCTGAGAACAGATAATAATTACCTATGCTGCCAGCAAATCACAGGTATTTTAAATATGACCAAGAAACTACATTTCTGATTAGGCTTAATATGTTGCGTGTTTTTGTCTGTTAGAAAAATAAAAAGTAATGATTTTATGAGAAATAAAAAGAAATTCATCACACAACTTTCTTCTGATGTGTGTGTGTGGGGGAATTCTTGAAGCTCATTAAATACTGAAGCAAGAGTTTAATGCCAACCATTTTGAACACCTTTTAAAGATATACCATATATATTCATGTATCAGGTGAGCTTTAAAGATCAAATTTTGAAGGTAATTTAACTCCAGTAAATGGATATATAGTTTGGCCAATGGCATAACCAGGGCCAGCAGTACATACGCTAATCTTGTATCTTTTGTATGATACAACCATTTTAAAATTACCTTCAAAATTAGGTCTTCAAAAGTTGCATGATATGCAAATATATACAGTAGATTATATATAATATTTGAAAACTATTTTTTTATGTGTATGTCTGCCCATGTTCTAAAATCTGAAAACTTTTTTCTTTTATTTAGATTGGTCGCAGTGGAAACATACCTGCAGGCACTACAGTAGATTATGGGATTTGTCACCCCACAGAATTTGATTTTTATCTTTGTAGCCACGCTGGTATACAGGTCAGTCTTTTTTTATTAAATTTCATCACTTGTTATTGTTTATTAGATTTACCTTGATTTGATTGAATCAATAATTAATATTAAGAAATATATAAAGCCTTTGTCTCTTTTTATTATTTTTATTTTTTTCTCAAAGCAAAGTAATAATGTCAATGTTCCCCTCTCACCCAGTTGAGATTTAAAACTGTCATTCTCCTGGCTTGTAGTTACCTAATTTGTTTCTTTAAACCAACAGTTGGTTGTTTTTGTTTAGTGGCATATCAACCCCTCTAAGTCAACCAACAGAGTGGTGTAAGTCAAGCAATCCAACAACACGTGTCTCCTGTTCACTAGAACAGTCAGCCTTCTATCTTTTTTAAATATATGCCATTTTCTTTTTGGGAATATTTTACATGTGAGGCATGTTCAAATCTGTTTTCATCCTGGAGTTAAACCATTTTCTCTAGTGTTACAAAAATCTTTCTGAAATGGTGATTATACTTGAGAAATCTCTTCAGTTTTTGATAGGGAACTCCCTTTTTTATGATTAATTTACATTTGTATCCCGTTTGTGTAAATAGGAAGTCATGCTTATAATAACAAACATTTTAAAATGAAATAAAAGCAATCTACTGTATATATTAAGTTTTGAAGACCAAAATGTCTTGAAAAAAAGTTAAGAATTTACCAAAACTAGTTTTCACATCCATGTCGGTTGCCTGTCAAGTTTTAAGTATTAATGTAACTAGTCTCTCTATAAAGCTTCTAAAAGCTTGCAATATTCAATCTTACTGGTTGTCATGGTTAAATTTGGGTTCAAATCCTAGCATTGTGTAATATCAATTATTTTATTGTTTCAATCTAGTTTTTTATTATTTTCATTGCCATATCAAACAGTTTTTATCTTATTCTTGGTAGATAGAACATTTATTTTAACTGTATAAATGATATCTTGGTATTTTTAGAAATTGATTAACTATATAGTATTACTTGTAAAATTACTTACAAAAAATGCTGTTATCTAAAAATTACTTAATAATTTTTTTTTTTTAAATAGGATTCATTACTTTCTCTTTTTAACTGTCCGCTGGGTCATCCTGTCTATGCCAATTCTGCTACAATTCCTCTATTCTCTTGAAATGACATTGGATATCTGATATATGATCTCTTAATTTTGTCCTTGTTTCTAAATCTTGTCTTGTGTTTTCTTTGTCAGGGTACTTCTCGTCCTTCTCACTACCATGTTTTGTGGGATGACAACCACTTTAATGCCGATGAGTTACAAACATTAACCTACCAACTTTGCCACACCTATGTTCGGTGTACGCGCAGCGTCTCAATTCCAGCTCCTGCTTATTATGCACATCTGGTGGCCTTCAGAGCACGTTACCATCTTGTTGAGAAGGAACATGACAGGTAAAAATTATCTGATGCTTTCTTTTCTTTTTTTTTTTTTTTTTTTTTTTTTTTTAATTACTTGCAGATTGAATAGGAATGGATATTGAAGTACTCAAACATTTATAATGATACAACACTTTTTGATAAATGATAAAATGCTTTCAATTAGAATTTTGATACTTTTAAAGTATTAAAATTGTTCTTTTTATGAATTTTAAGAATTTTCTCCATTATGATGACAAATGAAAATCAGAGAATGTTCCCTGTTGTTGTCTGGTAATAACAATAAAAATCCTTGTCATTAAATCCTGGCACTTTTCCAAATTATGTCTGTTTTAATTTCACTATCAGTTGCATTGAATTTTGTTAAAAATAACTTTGTGCCAAACAACAACAAAAAGAAAAATGAAAGTTGTTTAAATGTTGACCAATATTTCTTCTTTGAGTTCATTTCAGTTCATAGGGAAGCCATTTTAGAATTCCCCGACAGAACAGTTTGAATTACTTTCCAAATGTAAACATGAAAACGAGTACCTTTTCTGCTACCTACTTGGTTGACTAAATGGCCAAAGACTTGTCCATATTTGCATGTTTAGTATTTAACCCAGGAGTTTTATTTTGCACATGATTATCACCTAATCATACAATTGCATATATATTTTCTCCATTTTTGTTTGTTTTTTCTGATATATGTATTTAAATAATATAAAATTAATTAAAGAAATTAAAAAAGAAGAAAACTTGAAGAACTTTGTCTCATCAGTATTTGCAACAAGATTGCAATATTGAAAAATATACCAAAGAATTTCTTCAATCAAAATCATTCTTTGATGATAGCATTTACTTGAAAGCTGTCATAAAGTGAGAGAAATCAGGGTGAAAATACTTTGATGCCTGATCAATGATGCTGTGAATTTCTATTTTATAAATTTGTAGATTACATCAATTATGTGTTAACCAAGTTTTGATTTTATTCTGTATGTACATCTTTATATACAAACCAACTTTTTTTTTTAACTTTAGTTGTGCTGAGATTGAAATGTTTTGATATTATTTTTCAGTGGCGAGGGCAGCCATCAGTCTGGGAATCATGAAGAGAGAACCCCAATGATGATGGCTGGTGCAGTCACCGTACACAGAGATACGATTAAAGTGATGTACTTTGCATAAGTATGGTCTTCACGATTCTTGGACCGTTTACTGTACTAAGCTGACTTTCTCATCAAATATCAGTAGGTCCCCAGTTAACCAGTCGGAAACAATGCACTGAAAATGGTAAAAGAAGAAATAATAAATATGGCCACCATGAAAAAGATCGTCATGCACAAGACGTGCCAGTTGAAGCAGTAAACCAAGAAAAACTAAAATGGGCTAAACTGAATCAACTCGATATTTCATGTTATTTTCTTACGTTTAAAGGATGGATGCAAGGAATTGTTCTCTCTTAAGTCTTTGATACTGTTTTCTTTTTGGGTTCTTTTTATTTCAATGTTCATGGTTTATTTATTCTTTATATTATTTAGAAAAAAAAATTAATTCTTGTTCTCTTTGTTTAAATTTGATATGTTTAATATATTTTAACTTTTATGAGTTATTTTTAGATTCAGAATAGAATTTCTGGTAATGTAAATTGTTGGTGGTTTTTTTTTTTTTTTTTACATAATTTCAGTTAGGTGGATTTTATTTTTTATTTTGGTACTTAAATCATGAAATTGATTTTCTTATTGTAACATAAAATCATGACACATAGAAAGATCAGCTCCCTCCCCCTTAATAGAAATCATTTATTATGTTTTACATTTTACTTACTGATTAAAGCAATAAATATTTCTTCATCTTTTAAATAAGGTCATAGACTCTTAGTTCAAAAATACACTTGTTACTAGCTAGGAATTTTCCTTTGGTAAAATATAGCATTTAATTTTTTTAAAATTATTCTTTCATCATTATTATTATTATTCATTTCATCCTTTTTTTTTTTTTTTTAAAGAGGTTTTGATCATGGAAAGTTCGATTTACATAAATTCTTGCATATTTCCATCATTTATTATTGCCAAACTTCTCTAAATTATTAATTACCAAAGGTTTTGTTATATCTGATAAATGTCTCAATAGAAGTAAGTAATTTTAACTTTTAATTAATTTTACTACTGTATTTTTTTATTTGTTTAATGAAACAAATATTTGTATTTGTCTTGGAAATTACATCATATGTTTGCTTGATTTCTGAGATTTCAACACAGCATAATTTACATAAGTAGAATTTATGAATAAACCTCTGCATAAAAGTCGCCAATGGCAGGATTTTAACCAATGGCCAGAGTCCCAATTTGCAACTAAATTCATTGATGGACACTTTGTTTGTTTACAAATTCTATGCAGTCATGTTGTGAAATAATTCTATTTTACATTATGAATAATTAACAGTTAAGACTCATTGTTGCATCCATCCTAAACCTTTTTTTTTCTTTCCCTGAGTTTTAAAATTTTCCCTCTTAGGAAGGATAATTAAAACAATGGCTGCTTGGAGTACATGCTCACACCAGCACTATGGGATGTCATTAACTGCCACTCAGGTCTCATAATCATTCATTTCTGTCTGTCTCTTATTTTAAATCAAAAAAACAAACCTTTTTTTTTTTGTCTACAGGAAAGTCTTGCATTCATATTTGCATCCATCCTGCTTTTCTAAAGGAAAAGAAACCCATAAGGACAGAATTTTGTTTCTTCTTATTATAAGGCACACCATGGGGAATATATGCGTGTGTGCATGTGTGCGTGCATGCATGTGCTATTTGCTTGTATTTCTTTATTTCCACCAAAATCCCTGTAACAGATTGAAATGAATTGCTCAAACATTCTGTCCTTCAGGTAAAAACGATAATTTAAAAAAAAAAATGTCCTTAAATTGAAAATTGCCAGATGAAGAAATTTGTCTCTTTTGTAGAGCAATGTATAAGTCTCTTTTTACAGTGTCCTGTTTGAAAAGAAAAACAAAAAAAAAGAACAACTGAAAAAAGAAAAAAAAAAAAATGATAACCCAATCTTATTTATAAATCTGTGCACAATGGAATATTTTTATTTTTATTACCAATTCCTTTTGATTGGTGATGACAATGCGACACTTAATGTTTTTTTTTTTTTCTTTCATTTTTTTTATTGTCTAAAACAAACACAAAACATTCAATCTTTCTGGAATCTAAATGAATAAGAAAATGTTCTTCCTCAATTCTCATGAGTAGAACTAAATGCTGATCTCTTAAATAGATGTATATAAATACATAAAACATGTATGTGCAAAGACTAGTCTAAGAGAAAGTATTTTCTATCTTTCCCTTCTTTGCCTTCACATTCTCCCTTCTTTTCTTTTTCTTTTATTCTTCCAATTTGAAATAATTTTTAATACTGAAATTTGATTTTTCATTAAACTCTTTTCCTTGCGGAATATTTTTCTTTACACATTTATTTATTTATTTTTTTTTTTTTATCCGTGAATGTACAATAAGGGAAATTTGCTATTCAAGTAGAATTTTGCAAGTCTACACTTAGAAGGAACTAAGTGTATGCTTGTGTGTATTTTCTATCCTACATTGTTAGTGGCCATGATTTGCACATAACCACCTTCTCAGTGCTCTGCCCCATCCCCCGTCCCTTCACATATTACCATGCAGGGCTCCTTAAAGCACTATGATTGCAACCTCTACCTTGAGGAATTTTTAATATAATTAAAACCACTAATGTTTGCTCTGTTTATCTTATTTTTTTTAACCTTTGTCATTTTTTTTTTGACCATCTTTCCTTTATGTAATGAATGATTTTATTATTGGATTTGTTATGGACCTCCTTCATAGTCTGGTGATGAAAGGTGCTGTGACATATTAAAAGTAAATAAGTGATTTTTCAATTGAAAATTCATGGTTAAAATCATTATTACCTTTACCCATTAAGAAACAAACAAGGTGTTGTTTAATTACTTTCAATTTTAATATCTACAAGATATAAACTAAAAAAGGAGGCAGCACTTAAAAGAAAAACCCTCAAATTTTTAGGTATGGTTTTATTTAATTACATACCTTCCTGATTTACTAAAGTCATCTTTGACTTAAATTATCAATTTCATTTTGAAAATACATCTTTTTGTATAGATTTGAATTAATTTAAAACAAGACTACAATTTTGGTACAAATTGAAATTTCAGATTTAATCACAAATTTGAGTCATAAAATTAATCAAACTATATCAAAATTTGAAATTGAAAAATATATATCTGGTACTTGAAATAAAAGAAAAATGTTAAATCATTCCACACGAACCTATACTATTATTGTTATTATTATTGTTTTGTACCTAGAGTGTATAAAATTTCTTGTCAAAAGGTTTTGAATGTAGATCACTCATAAATCTTTTCTCTGAATCTTCCAGCTCCAGTCATGGAGATGGCTAAAACTTTTGCCTGCCTTCTTCTACTTAACAGAACAAAGATGGCTTTATTGACTCAAGCCCCAATTCAGTCAACTTTACTCTTTCTGTCTCACAAGCAAATGAAGAAAGAGGATGCTATATGAAATGTTTTATTCCTTGCCACCAGATGTGATTGCTTAATTTCGAACAAATGTATTTTAACACAAGATTCCAACCATTTAACAAATTTTACAATCCCTAATCTATATATAATACTTATGATCAAATGAATTTAACCAATTCTTCTGGAATGGGCCTCTAACATTTCACATGTATACACACTCACAACGTTTGGGAGGTTTATTGTTTAGAAACTTGGTCTTCCAAGATTCTTTTTTTTTTCTGTTCCCTTTCTGATATGATAAAAAAAAAAAACAACTTGTTTTAAATCGCTCCAAAATCAATTTCTGTTAAATGTTAATTGTGTAGTATAAATTATGCTAAACTGTTGTAGAAAAGGAAAAAAATTTATAGTCATATTGACTGCTTCCAATCCTTCATGGCATTTATACCCGCCTCCCATCTTTCTTTTATCATCAGTATACTCATCTTCTTTCCTGTCATTTATCCCCCCACCCCCTATATTTAAAATCTCACCCTTTTATCTTTGTCAAGGATTCCTTTAGTGCTGCTGAAAATCTTAAAATCATTTGGCATAGAAACAATTTTCAGCTTTCATCGTTAAAGCCTAAATAACTGTTAAAAATGGACATATCATATAAGCCATTAATTCTTCTTCTTGCTGTTGTTGTTGGGGGTGGTGGAGGATATCAGATTTAAAATTTTAAATTATGCTATCAAGAAAAAGTAAATCTGGTATTTCTTTTGTACATTTAAACAGGGGATATTTGTTTAAAAATGCTATGCGTTTATTTTGAAGCTCACTTTATAAATTACCAGAGAATAAAAATAGAATGAAATAAGTCTCCCCCCCACACCTTCTGCTTTGCATGTAACTTTAAAAAAAAATTTTCATGCTTGAAATTTTTATGGAAAAGTTAATTTTTATTTGGACTATATGTTCATTTTCATGAAATTCTTCTGACTAAAAATGTTTTGATTTGAAAATTTCAAAGCTTTTTAAAAATATTTCCGCAATAGAAATTTAACATTTGATATATTTATCTATCTGGGAGTGGATCACTATTCATTTTCATCATATATATATATATATATATATATATATATATATATATATAAGCAATGATAAATTTGAAATTCCAGAAACTTTTATAAAACTTTAAACTCTTGATTATCAAATTTCTTAATTTTGTATTGTTTTAAAAAATTCTGACAGGTAATCAATTAGTATTAAACAAAATCATGTAATATACAAATAATAAATGGAAAAGTAAAGCATTTTAAGTTATTAGTCTATTTTATTAAAAAAAAATATTAAAATTCATAGATTAGTCATAATGCTTACAAAGTATCATTTCTAGTATAGTATAAGTATATTTTTCTATATAAAGTGACACTGAAGATGAAAAAGAAAATTAATTTCTGCTATTTTTAAGGAAGAAACTTAATTTCCTCATGAAATCTTTCCAAATTTTAATTTCACGAATGATTAATATCCACAAAACATAAAATTTGAGGAGTTATGAATGTCAATGCCTTCATCTATATCAGAATCATTTCCTCTTTTTTTTTCAATTCTTTTTTGCATGATATCTCAATTGTTTATCACATAATAAAGTGAATGTAAT